TGTCAATCAATCAACCAATCAATAAAGCTCCAGTTGATTATATTTTATGTTTCTTTTATTCAAGCTGTATTAGGACAAGGCATTAAAATTATCAATGTGAGGAATTCTTTCTAGAGAACAGCCAGGTCACAGACAATACATATTCTGTCCTTGACGTGAACATGTAGGAACTCAACTAAAACAGATCCATTGTTACTGTCATTCAAATGCTTAATGCAGCCTCAGAGAAGCCAACTAATTTTAATTCCTCTAATGGCTGGGATTTACATCCCCAAACTCATTTTCCACCATAGCTCTCTTATTCTTCAGCGCTGGTCTGTTTCTGGCTTGTACTTTCTTCTGCATAATAAACATTCTCAGGATAGACCCAGTTTTCCATTTTCATATTTTCTTCCTCAATGGACTGCTGTTGAGATCTGTGTCACTCTGGAAGACAGTGAAAGAGAGAGGGTGGAGAAAGTCCATGTGGGTCAGGGCAGGGAGTTCTGACATCTTTGTTCCCTTCTTGCTAGAAAGCTCCCCTAGATGCCAGGGTTACTTCTATGTAGGCTGTCTTCTCAGTAATGGGTACCATTGGGTCATACCTAGCTTGTTCTGCATGAGGTTGGGAGGGTTTAGAGGCCTAGCATGCCCCTTAGGACTGAACTCTGCCAGGCTGTTGAGAGGGCCAGGGTGCAATCCCGAGACCCAGTGCTTCCTGCATGCCTGTGTGTGGCATCTCTTCAGGGGCTAAGAGGCTTGCTTTGCTATTGTGATGTGAGCATCTTCCCAAGAAAGAAAAGCTACTGCTCATCACATCCCACAAGTGGATTTTAAATATTAGTAAGATTTCCTTCTGGAGTTTATGGAATATTGTACCCAACAGGGCCCTTCACAGACTCACCCCTGCCTACCCTTTTAGTTTTGTTTCCCACCTCTCTGCAGCTCTCTTGCCTCATGCTGAACCCCTGGGCAAGTCCCACCTCTGTACTTTTGCACGTGTTGGGCCTTCTCTCTGGAATTTCCTTCTCTTCTCTGCCTGGCAAAGGATCAGTTTTATTCATTCTTTTAAATTTTTGTTAAAATATTTTATTTTTTATTTTAATTTTTAATTTTAATATCAACACCAATAACTTCTATAAAAGACACCAGTATTGCACTTGGATGTCACAGTGTTGATTGCTATAAAAATTTCTAAAAACTTCCTCTCAGTTTCTGCACTTCTGCTGTTATGGGCAGGTAACAGACAGGACCACCCATTGCATGGCACTGCTCTAGACTCTTGTACAGGTCACGCTCTCTTTGGAGGTGCTCCATCCAGCCACCTTGGGATGATCCAATTGCTCCTCCTCTGTGCTCCCTTCCCATGAAATGCAAATGGCACGTAGGAGAACATTGGCCCACAGCCTTGTAATGATTGTTGTGTGCATCTACCTCTCCACCAGGTGCTGAGCTCCTCAAGGAGGACCTTCTTTCTCATTTACCTCTGTATCCCAGAGAACAGGCCTAGAGCCCATATTCAGAGCTTGGTCAATACATGTGGGTATGGATATAATGCCACTTTAGAGAACTAAACTCTGTGGCCCATGAATGTGAAGGCAGGGTCTAGGCTCAGTGTTGATCCATGCACCAATTTGCTTAAGACAGCCCATGGCCACTGGTGGTATATCCAGCCCTGTGACCAACAAGGGGACATGGATAAAAGAGTGAGGATAGATCAAGGCATGGAAAGAAGACCCTGGAGACACGGCCTCATCACCTCTGGGTGCTGGAGGCCGGACTGCAGCCTGGAACGTGGAAGTATATCCTTGCTGTGTTAGAACAGCCAGACCAGGGCCAACCAAAGGAGGGTGGGGGATCTGCCTTAGACAGTATCTAATCCTGGAGGCTAAGACTTAGCAGGTGGAAAGAGCTGAACCGCCTCCTGAGTCAGGGTGTATAGGAATCCTCCTGAGTAGTCCCTGCCTAGGTGAGAGCTCAGGGGGAGGGATCCCTTTCAGGTTTCTGCTCTGAAAGGAGATGGTTACACATTAATCATAGAACTCATCTTGAGTCAAGCCTCTGGTTTTCTTTTTTCTTTTTTTCTTCCTTCTTTTTTTCAACAGAAGATTGAGTTCAAGGGCCTCTGATTTTCTTAACTTCCCAAGCTTACCATTTGCCATTATTTTAGGGTTAGAGAATTAAGAAAAAGATTCCATGTCCTTTTTTTTGTTTCCTCCCTAAGCAAATAGTAAGATAAGGCTCAGCTTGAATCCAAAGGTCAACGGGTTATCACTTTTGGCTAAAACTCAAACTGACCACCATTCCTGAGAGAAAACTGTAAATGAACAGGGAACCTTAACCTCACCAATAGCTGACTAATCCAGATGTTTGAACACAAGGCCAGAAATAACTTCTGGAATCCATGGAAGTTGGTGCTTAGGCTTCATCCTCACCCCCATCCCTCAACCTGAGCCAAGTCCTGGATTTTTAGCTGTTCTGGTTAATCCCACACAGAGGGCAACCAAATCAATTTTCCATGAGTAATTCAAATAAAAGACAACTTGCCTTTCCTTGGCACAGGGTTTATATGACCACAGGCAAGTCACTGAACTTCTCTGAACTCATTTTCCTCACCTGACAAATGGGGATATTTATACCCACCTCATAGGGTAAATAAAATGTGAGAAGTATTTGCCATCTGCCAGGCTCTTGTAAAAAAAAAAAAAAAGTAGGTGAAACCTCCATCCCTAGCTCCGTGTTTCTGTAAGGGCAGACTTCTGCTACAGCAGTGGCTTTCAAACTCTATCACACATCTGAGTTACCTGGAGGGCTTATTAAACCACAGATATTGGACCTACCCCCAGCACTGCTGACTCAGTAGGTATAGAGCCACGCCTGAGAATAGGCATTTCTAACAACTCTCCAGGTGACACTGATGTTGCTGGTCCAGACTGTGTTTTGGGAACCACTGCTCTAGAATAATGTTCTTTTTCTTTCTCCTCACCTTTCCCTCGCTTCTCTCCATGGGAGGAGGAGTGATTTATCTTGTGTTTGGAATAAGAAACCAGGAAGGCTGAACCCTATCTTGTCTCTGCTTTTAAATCTACTTGCAGGATGATGAGTTCTGGTTGTTTCTCTGCTCAAGGCAGTGGATGCCCCGCAGGGAGCTGGCCTGTGGTTGTTCAGTGCTGCAGGCATCTTTAATTCTGAGGCACAGATGAGGATGCCCATGGTGGACACACAATAGAGCCACATCCTCAGACTAGAGTTACAGCATAATAAAACTGGTATTTTGAGTCATATATTTGTCCCCAATGTTTTTTCCCTTGATTGGTTCTGAAATAAAGGGAGTAAGAAAGGACTATTTTTCAGTCTTGAGTTTGAATTTGACCTAAAAAATAGAAAAAAAATAGAAAAAAAAAAAAAAAAAGAAAGGACTATTTTAAGTTGTGCCCCTAAAATCCCACCTGCACTTAGTGCTCAAGAAATGGTAGCTGTGATGATGATTCTTCATTATTTTCTTAGTATTAGAAACCTAAATTTGTCCAGGTGTGGTGGCTCACACCTGTAATCCTGGCACTCTGGGAGACCAATGTGGGAGGATTGCTTGAGCTCAGGAGTTTGAGACCAGCCTGAGCAAGAGTGAGACTCTCATCTCTACTAAAAAAATAAGTTAAAAAAAACCAACAAAAAAACCCTAAATGCAACCATTGGTGATGAAATCCCCAGTGAAGAATGATATTGTGGGGGATGTGAAAGGTGAACACACATTGCCATAAACTTGCAGATATCTCCATGGATCTCCAGGGAAAATGAGTGTGTACCGAGTACTCACATTCCAGGTCTAGCATCAAGTGGCATCACATAAGGAAACTGCCACCTAGATGGGGACATCAGGACTACCTGCACCTATTCTGCAGGTGGACAGCACCCCATCCCACCCCACCCGAGGGCTGCGAGAATCCAGAGAGGAGAGCTGCAACTGAAGAGGTGGGGGGTGCTGTGGGGTTCCTGTTGCATGAGATCAGGTGTGATCAAGACTGGAAGCTGGGGAGCATGGGGTGCCCCACTGGGCAGTGTACTACCACTGCTAGGAGCAAAGCAGGTGCAGGGAAGGTGAGCTTCTGGCAGTCCACACCTACCTGCTGTGGCCTAGGGCATGGAGGGCTTCATTCCTCAGAGAGGGTTTTGGAGGAGCCTGTCTTAGACACCTGGATGATCTCCACGGAGGTGATGCCCTTGCCAGCCACACGATGTCTGGTGCGCAGCTTGTTCAGGGCGGTCTCCGCCATGCCGGCCCGCTCCTCAGCATCATTCAGCTCATGCACTGTCTTCCTGTACCTGGCCAAAGTCTGGTTGGCCTGCTCCTCCTGTGACAGAGGCATGGTGGAAAACAGGGCATGAGCCTGGCTGATTCTGGTTAAGTATGCAGTTTTATCAGTTCTACTCAGACCCCTAAGAGTCCAGTTGTTCTTCTTACAAAACAGCTGTCCTGGGTAGGGAAGGACACACTCCAGCTCACCAGGGATGACCACCTTCAACACTATTAGCTGATTATTTTTGGCCTCAACATCAATATTTATAAGTAAAAATGTGCTTCTGTGGCTGCTTCTGTAATTTTTGGTTTTCAGCATTATCTGTTGGTGCTCTACCATTGAAGATGAGGATGTAGCACTTTCCCCTACCATATATTCCCCAGTAGTGCTGTAGTCATTTTGGTTAGAAGAGTATTTTTTTGGTTAGAACCATATCTGCTGTCAGCTGACCTTTATTGAACCTTTTGGGAAGAGTGTTAGGTGCACGGGTAGCTGATGGATTCAACATGGTGGCCACAGAACCATCAGCAAATGATGGCAGAGTCACTATCTATGTCCCTGAAGGGGGAATGTATAGGACATGTGCAGGGTTGAGACTTGAAACTGCTGTTTGCTGATCATTTGACTTTAACTCTGACTTTTACTAACATAGCATAGATATTCTACTCTGGGTCTGTTTTTTTTTTTTTTTTTTTTTTTTTTTTTTTATCCCAAATCCTGCTTCAGAAAGCAGGGGTCTGTTTTCTTGCCTGTGAAATGTATTAAAAATATCAGCCTTCCTACCTCAGCAGCAGAAGGATCAAATAAGGGAGGGAGAGGTTGTCTTTGCCAGAGGCCACAAGGGTCAACAGAAGCAGGACAGAGAATGGGAACTTTTTGAGGTTGTGGTCACCACTGCATGGTTATATTAGTTAACCTGGTAGTCATGGGAAATGTTTTTAGTTTTTACATGTTCTTATCTCTGGTGTGTAGTGTCTGGTCCCCTTCCCACACAATACTGAGGACATGGTACTGTGGACATGAATCTCACAGAGTCATCTTGGGGCCAATACTTGCTTCTTTCCCCGTGGTTAATTCTAATCAAGGCTGGCAGTGTGGGCTGGGAAGCAAGCGTTAGAGAGGGAGGAGTGGGGAAGCATGTTGAGCACTCACCGCCTCTTCGATCTGTCGCTTGTAGACCTTCAGCTTATTCTGCAACTTCTCCACCAGCTCCTGCATGCGCTGGTTGGTCTTGTGGTCCTCCTCCATCTGGAAGACCAGCTCTTTGAGGCGGCGCTCATTCTTACGCAGTGTCTTAACCGTCTCCACGTGCTGTTTCTGCTCCCCATCCAGCTCTGTTTCTAGTTCCTTGATCTGAGGGAGGAAGACAGGAATGCAGCTGAGAGATGCATGTTTTTGAACTTCAGAGCTCAGTGGCCTGGGACGTGGCCATCATGGCTGCAATATCCACTTCCTGCCCAGAGGTGATGGGATGAGCCCTTGGCAGGAAAGCCAGGCTCTGACTTTTATGGGCTATGCTGTGGTCACCACATGGTCACCTTCCCCTGAGCCTAGGTTCCCTCCTCTGGGCATGGGGGAGTCTGAGGTGGGACAAGGTGACTGAACCTTCTGGGCCCTTCCAGCACTGATGTTTCATGGGATAAAGACTAAAGCTGGTTTTAAGTTAGTAATAAGAGGAAGGAAAATATTGGAAACTGCTCTGCTTGGAGGCTAAGGACATTCTGAGGAGGAAGATGACAGAGAGAGAGGTGGAGGAAAGGAGAACTTTGGGTAAATAAACTAGAACTGTTATTTCAATTTCCTTTTCTTTCATAGCACTTGCACCACCCATTTTCTCATCAAATGCAGGGCATGATTTTGGCTTCCCTCTCCTGGCTGCCTCAGCATTGCCCTCACCCTGGCCTCCAGCTTCATGATCATGCGCTTCCCTCCTTTCAGAGCCAGCTGTTCGGCCTCCTCCATCTTGGCCTGCAGGTCTTTAATGGTGACTTCATAGTTCTTGATTTTCTCCAGGTGCATGCAGTGGTCCTGCTCTTGCCGGAGCTCTTCTGCCATGCGGGCAGCCTGTGGGCAGGGAGGAGAAAGAATTAGAGCTGGGTGCTACCCAAGTTTATAGCACCTTTTGGAGATGAAGGACCTTGTCTTCCAGTTTCTGGGAAATCAAGTGGTTGACAAGAGGATCCTCACTGATAAGCTGCTAGGGTTTGGTGGAGGGGATGCCACTTATTCCCATGTGCCCCAAATGGGGAGGGGGAGGCTCATGCACCCCCAACCAAGCCTCTTAACCCCACAGAATCCTGCCAGCTAGGGGCACTCAAGTCAAAACCTTTGCTGCCACCTCCATGAGGGGCACAGCATCTGGAGTTGGAAGACTTAGGATTGTGTCCAGCCCTGAGCCACCTTTAGCAAGTTGCCTGTCTCTCCTCAGCCCCCTCATTCTTGCATTCGTTCCACAAATATTCATGTAAGGTCTACTATGTACCAGGCATGGGTCTGTGCTCTTGGGAGGTAGCACCATGTAAGACCAACAATGTTCTTGAACTACTGGAATTTTAATCAAGTGGGAAAAGCCTGGCAATAAAATCTGTATTCCGTCATCTTCAAAGTGGGCATATATAGAACCTACCATTCAGAGTTGGTGTGAACACCCAAAGGGATGCTGGGGTAAAAACACATGGTTACACATTTGCTGACATCCACCTCTGAGCCCCTGGGCATGTATCCAACTTCCTTTTCCTAGCTCTTCCCTCAAGGCTGTTTTAATTCTGCCCATTGCCAAAAATGCTGCCCAGATTTTTTTTGATCTGAGTCCCCTGACCTCATGCTGTAATCCTTCACATGATCAGGTATAGCTTATATTTCTTCCCTACTTTCATATATTTGGCTTTTTAGAAAGCCTGAGGCTCCTCCATGACAGGCCCACATCCTTGCTGGGCAGGGTACCACACAAGTAAGTCCACAGTGACCCGTGAGGGGAGGGGTGGCTTTCCCTTCCAGACCCTGCCCACCACCAGCAGGTGGTACACAGACTTACGTCTGTCATGGCCTTCTTGGCCCTCTCGTCAGCCAAGCGGAACTCACTGATGAGCTCCTCGTGCTCATTGGAGATGCGCTGGACATCTGACTCCAGCTTGCACTTGACCACGAGGAGGCTTTGGTTCTAGAGGAGGAATGAAGACACTGCCAGGAGTCTGCATGGCCCTGCCCTTGTCCAGGAAAGAAAACCACCCTCCCCAAGATATGCTTGCCAGACCTTCCAACAGGATATGGCCCTGGGCCTTCTGTGTGGGGTGAAGGTCTCTCCCCTGCACTCCTCTCTAGGAGAGCAGAACTTGAGTCATGAGTAGCCCAGGAATAAGGTGTCTGAGTGTGAGTCCAAGTGGCACTGATTCAGGAGCCACTGTCCTACCTGGATGTTGACCTTGTTGTGCCTCTCGGTGATCTCCACCACCTCCTGTTCCAGCAGCTTGCGGGAGCACTCGCTGCCCTCCAGGGCTGAGCGCACCTCTTCCAGCTCCCTCTGCAGCAGGCTCAGGCGCCGCTCCTGTAGGTTGTACTGCTCCCGCAGCTCCTCATGCTGCCAGGCATCCTCATCCATCTGGATCTGCAGGTCCTGGAGGGCAGAAGAACCCAGCCTGAGCCCATTGGCTGGACTCTGGTATGACCTGGGCTGGCCAGGCCTGAGGGCGCCCTCACCTTTATGGACAGAGTTCGGCAAGAAGCCGGGGCAGGGGTGGAGACCACATAGAAAGAGAGTGAGGCACAGATCTGCCCTAGGGGAGTTCATGTTGTGGTTGAGTCCCAGGTAGGCCAGGACCCAGGACTTGTCTAACAGGAGATCAAGCCTTTCCTGATGTAATAGTGCCTGGTATTCCCAGCAAGACCTTCCCAGGAGGGCCTTCCCTGATGACCTTTGACAATTACTCTTTCACTGGCTAATGCCAGGCTTCCTTCCTCTGCCCTCTTATTTTTCCATAGCACTTATCATCATTTTTAATACTACAGTTTAATTTATTTGTTGCTTACTGTCCACCTGCAGGGGTGTTTCTGTCTTGTCTATTTTTGTATCTCTAGCACCTACAACGGTACCTGGGTAGGGCAGGTTCCCAATAAGTATTGAATGCTTGGATGCTACTATGTGTGTATGCTTTAAAGACCAGCCCGATGATGGAGGATGATAAAGGGGACTTGTGTTTATTTTTTAAGGCTAGTGGTGGATGTATGAGTTTATGTTCTTTATTTTTCTATGTCTGAAATAGTTTATAGTAAGTCAAAAAATGATTTTAAAAATTAAGACAGGCCCCACTTCATGTTTTCCTCATTTCTTCCCTCTCTCTTCAGTTGTCTCAGACATGGACTTTGGTGCCTCCTGTTTATACAGTCCCCAAGTCTCTTGCTCCCTAGACTGCCATCCACCCTGCATTCTCACTCTGCTGCCTTTATCCTTGCTGAAGACATGCAAAAAGTTAGTTCCCTGTAAGCCTTCAGGCTCAACTGATGATGGCTTGCTTTGTGATTAGTTTCTCCTTTTCCCAGATCACTACCTTGATTTGCTGTTGCAGCCTTTTCAGTGTCTTAACAAGTTCACTGTTGTTCTTGTTGGCATGGTCCAACTGGATTTCCATCTTATTCAGGTCTGTTTCCATCTTCTTCTTGAGCTGTAGTGCCTCTGCCCGGCCCTTGGCCTCTGCCTCCAGGCTGGCCTGTAAGTCCAAGCAGAGAAGAGCTTGGTATATTGGGCCTGCTGTTCAGGCTGTACCAAACCTCCCTAGATAAGAAGTCTCTCAGTATTAGTGGAGCAGATATAGCCATCATGTTGTGAAATTAAAAAAACCTTTAAACCTTTAAAGTCTCATGCTTTGGGGAAAGAAAAGGAAGGTCATATTTACTGAACATTTACCATGTGTCTTATGTGATTTCAATTCATTTAACATGCAGATCAGCTCTGAGAGGAAATTGAGGCTCTGAGATGCTGAAAAACATGCCAAAGGCCACCCATTTGTCATACAGTAGAGTCATAATTCAAATCCAGATGTTAAAGTCCCAGGTTTTTCCATTACAGGATGTGAGCTTTGGCCATACAAGTCAGGTTTATATCTCTCTTCAAAACAACAGTCATTAATTGGTTATATTTAGTATATAACAATTATATTATAATCAACACAATAAATATTTCCATAAAACACTCATGTAAGCTGTATTAATCTCCTTTTATAGGAGAAGACCAAGGAGGTAATTGAGGTGTCCAATAAACATTTGTTGAATTGAGGTAAATAAATGGCTGGCATGTAAAGATCCTGTCACTGCCTTTTCACAAATCCCCAACCCCATCCCACGTTTACCTCAGCCCCACCCTGAATGCCCACCACATGCAGGTGCATTGCTGGATTTATAGCACCTTGAAATAGTTCAATTCTTAGATTTGGGAGAGGATATTATAATATTCTCAAATGCAAATAAAATAGTGATTCACATTGACTTAAAAAATAAATATAAGCAGAAACTACAAAACATTGTTGAAAAAAATTAAAGATGATTTAAATAAATGGAAATACATACATGTTCATGAATCAGAAGACTTACTATTGTTAGGGTGGCAATAATCCCCAAATTGATCTATAGATTCAATACAATCCCTATCAAAATTTCAGCTGATTCTTTACAGAAATTTACAGACTGATCCCAAAATTTAAATGGAAATGGAAGGGACCCATAATGACGAAGACAATCTTGAAAAAGAACAAAGTTGTAAGACTCACACTTTCCAATTTCAAAGCTTATTACAAAGATACAATAATCAAGACAGTATGGTCCTGATATAAAGATAGAAATATACATCAATGGAATAGAATTGAGAATCCAGAAACAAACTTTCACAATTATGATGAGTTTATTTTCCACAAGGGTACCAAGACTATTCAATGAGGATAAAAGTCTTTTCAAAAAATAGTGCTGGGGCAACTGGATATCCACAAGCAAAAGAATAAATTTGGACCCTTACCTCACACCATATATAAAAATTAATTCAAAATGGACCAAAGACCTAAATGTAAGAGCTAGAACTACAGGAAATATAGGCATAAATCTTTGTGACTGGATCTTTAGATGTGATCCCTAAAGCACTAATGACTAAAGAAAAAAATATACTTTTCAAAATGAAAAACTTTTGTGTTTCAAAGGACACTTTTAAGAAAGTGAAAAGACAACCCACAGAATGGAAGAAAATATTTGCAAATCGTATATGATGAGGGTCTAATTTCCAGAATATATAAAGAACTCTTACAAGTCAACTATAAAAAGACAACCCTGTTTTTAAAATGGACAAAGAACAGACATTTATCCAAAGAAGATATACAAATGGCTAGTAAGCACATAAACGATGTTCAGCATCATTAGCCAACATGGCTAAAATACTATGTGCTTAAGTGTTCCTAAACCAGTGCCACATTACTGTAAGGCACTATCATTATTTCTATTTAATAGATGAGGAAACTGAGGTTGAGAGAGGTTCATGTGAATTGCCCAAGGTCACATGACTACTAAGTGGCAGAGACCTAGGTTTCTGGCCCTACACCATCATACTGGCTAAAAGTCAGCCTCCCATTCCATCAGCTCCATACCTAGTAGCTTCAAATTCTTCTTCTTTCTCGTGGATTCTCTGGTCAATGTCAGCTTTGACCTGAGCCAGTTCCAACTGAATTCGGATCACCTTGCTCTCTTCAACCTACCAGGAATATAAACATCAGTCTTTCTAGCCAAGAAGGTGTGCAGTTCCTGGCTAAGGGTCCAGGCACCTGTGACAGCCACATAGTTACCTCTAGGGAAGACTCAGCTTCTTCCAGGGCCACTTGGAGTTCTTCCTTCTCAATCTCCAATTTTTTCTTTAACTTCTGCAGCTCATGCACACTCCGTCCTCCCTCTCCGAGCTGATCAATGAGATCCTTGATCTCCTCTGAGAAAGGAATATGCATGTTAATAAGGCATATGGGGATACCAGCATTCCAGCATCATGGCATGTGCCTCAGTCATTCTTCCATCAAGATAAAAAAGCAGGCACTCCTAGCCTCATCAGATAAAAAGGGAAGTAATTTACTCAGCATTGTAGACTCAAGGAATATCAGGGCTTGGACATTGGAAGCTATTGGATTCAAGCTCCTCTAAGTTCCAGGTGGCTTTTGGAGGGGTTTGGAGGACATCATCTAGGTCTCGGTTGTTGCTGTCACTTGTGGTGGCATTACTGACACAGCCATGGATATGGTGGCTATTTCTGGAACATTTTCTAGTGTACCACTCTGGGACCACAAGGAACACTACTATGCTCCCTCATACTCTCTCAGCCCAAGCAGGCTTTTCAGCCATTCTTACGGCTTCCAGCAGGCTGGGGTTACTTCACAAGGTTTGTTCCCACCTGGGCTTTACCTGCCAGGTGAGGTATATATTCCTCTGCTCTTAATCCTCAGGTTACCTGGAAGTTTTCTTATCTGTACTGGGAGCTGAGGGGCCCACCCACGCATATTGGCAAGGACCTTCACCAGTGCCTGATTATTGCCCTCTCCTGTTTTCCCTCCTCTCTGAGCCCTGGCAACCTTTATTTGGTTCAGATGTTTCTCCCCCATTTTTGACTCATGTATTTATTTACTTTATGCTCAGTTCCTTCACTTTTGAAATTAAGAAAGTGGAGTCCTTATACCTCAAATGCTTGGTTTTCAAGATTGTCTCCTCTAAGCAGACAACTCCCCTCGGAGGGACTCACAGGATTTGGGGCAGGTTGGGGGGACATTGGACAGTCTGCCTCTACTCCCGTTGTAGTGACCCCATGTCAGCCCTGGAACATAGATACAAGCCTAGGGAGGCAGCAGGGTGAGGCAACCCAGAATTGACTGAGAAAGCCCTGCCTCACCTGAGATTTCATTTCTGCTGCTCAGCAGAACGGAGACCCAAAAACAGTTCTTTAAAATAAAAAAAGTGACATCTCTTGCACAACTATTTGTGGTTAGAAATGTGTGCCTACCACAAAAATAAATAATACAGTTAAACCTATATGTGGCAAAACTACCTTCAACAGATAGCCAACATTTTAAAAGCAATATCCAACAGAAGGAAATTCCATCCTGAGAGTCCTATATTTAAGAAATATACAGATGATCCCTAACTTACGGTGGTTCAACTTAGGATTTTTTGATTTTACAATGGTGTGAAAGCCATACGCATTTAGTAGAAACTGTACTTCAGGTATCCATGCAAGCATTCTATTTTTCACCCTCAGTATAGTATTCAATAAATTGCATGAGATTTTAAATACTCTATCATAAAATAGGCTTTGTATTAGATGATTTTGCCCAACTGTAGGCTAGTGTAAGTGTTCTGAGCATGTTTAAGGTAGGCTAGGCTAAGCTATGGTGTTTCTTGGGTTAGGTGTATTAAATGCATTTTTGAGTTATGATATTTTCAACTTAAGATAGGTTTATTGGGGCCGGGCCTAATCCTAGCACTCTGGGAGGCCGAGGCAGGCGGATTGCTTGAGGTCAGGAGTTTAAAACCAGCCTGCACAAAAGCGAGACCCCGTCTCTACTATAAATAGAAATAAATTAATTGGTCAACTAATATATATAGAAAAAAAAATTAGCCGGGCATGGTGGCACATGCCTGTAGTCCCAGCTACTTAGGAGGCTGAGGCAGGAGGATTGCTTGAGTCCAGGAGATTGAGGTTGCTGTGAGCTAGGCTGACGCCACAGCACTCACTCTAGCCTGGGCAACAAAGTGAGACTCTGTCTCAAAAAAAAAAAAAAAAAATAAAAAAATAAAATAAAATAAAATAAAATAAATAAAATAAAAAGATAGGTTTATTGGGATATAACTTCATTGTAAGTCTAGGAGCATCTTGTATATTATTTACATATGCTATATGTAAGGGCTCAGTACAGAGAATCTATTGAGCCATTATTTGTGCCAGCTGCTTTACTGAGTGAAGACATCACACTTGTCATCATGCCAACCTCACAAGGAAGGTAGAATTATTTCCTCATTTTACAGATGAGGAAACTGAGGCACAGAAGGCCTAAGTAACTCACCTAAAGTTATACTTCTGAGCACCCAAGTGCTTCTGCAAAGTGCTGTCTAGCCAGTCAAAAATTATTGAGCACCTACTGTGTGCCAGGTGCTCAGAAGGCTCAGGGCTCTGGCTGTGTCCCCATCCCTGCAGGCCCAGCCCACCTGCCTGCCTTCACACTCACCCTGCAGGGTCTTGTTCTCCTTCTTCACTGACTCAAGGTGCTCCAGGGACTCTTCATAGGCAGTCTTGATCTTGAAGCTCTCTGTCATGTACATGCGGCACTCCTTCTGTGAACTGTCCACTTCCACCTGCAGCTCCTCACACTTCTGCTGCCACTCGGCCAACATCTTGTCAAAGAGCCTCTGCTTCTTGTCCAGGGCGGCGGCTGCAGCATTGGCCTGAAGCAAGGTGGAAGTGGTCTCTGGAGGGTCTGACTTCCCTGCCCCTTACCCGTCCTTCTTTCTCCCACCAAGCTCTCTTCCCTCCCTTTCCCCAGTAACTCTCATGACCATAGACTTCTTGGGAATCAGAATATAATTCAACACTCACAGCATAAGCACAGAGCAGAGTCTGCAAAGAGCTGTATTCCAGTTCTCAAACTTCTAGTGATGTGTGCTGTGTGACCCCAGGCACTCCTCATTTTCCCAGGCTAGAATTTTCTCGAGTGTAAAATGAGTTTGGGCCACGGCAGCCATCCCAGATTTATGATATCTGACCTAACTCCCTATAATGTATTTCTCTATGACATAGTCATATATGTGGCACATCATTGCCCAACTCAAAACTGATTATTCTTAGACTTTATTTTTCCATAGACCTTTTATCTTTCTCCTAACTCCCCAGCAACTGCATACTTGTTGTTGAGCTATATTAAATTTTGTAAAGTTTTGCTTAATTTCTTAATATGAGGGAGCAAAACTTTTTTGGGTTTCAGGACTTTTTTCCTGAAGCCTCTCACATAGATGTGACCTTCTGCCTATGTGGCTTCCTGGTGCAGTCATATTCTCGGATACTACTGTCTGTGGCCCCTCACAGCTGGCATGAATCATGGTCCTATCTAGAACAAGACCAGGGAGGTGCATGCCAGGGGAAATCCTATTTAATTCAGGTAGGGACTGGCAAACCAGTTTGAAGCAGGGATGCAAACAGGAATATTTAGCCATGTCCCCTATGTGTGGGACATGGTTTGTGTGAGAGAGAAAGGAACAGGGAAGATGTGTTATATAACTTCCTGGGAGCAAATTTTACCTCTCTCATGGACCTATTTAAATAGTGGCTTGTTGAGTGTTAAGATCTCAGAAGAGTTTACAAAGACATGCTCAAGCAGGAGCCTGTGTCCAGTGAGCTCCTGAAGACAAGCCCTGTGCTCCACCCTCTTGGGCCAGCAGCTTCTTCTTGATAACCCCAGATGTGTGACATTCTTGTCCTAGCTCTGCTGTGGGCTCTGTGCACTGGTAAATAGGCAACTTTTGAGCATTTGACCCTCTGACCTTCTCCAAGTCAATGGTGAGGTCTTCGACTTTTGCCTGGAGTCTCTGTTTATTTTTCTCAAGGGAGGCAGCCCAGGCCTGGGCAGCTTCAGCTGCCTCTTCTGCTTCCTGGAGCCTGGCAGCTAGCTTCCTCCAGCAGATGAGGGCCAGAGAGGCCATGAAAGAGATGTAGGAGCCTAGAGGCTCCTACAGCAGCCTCCACACTGCCCCATCAGAGGGTGAGGAGTGTGGCACTAAGCTCTGGTGTCAATGTTGGAAAAGATGCAGAATGTTTACGGGTGAGCCACCTAAACACCTGTTCACATGTTTATTCATTCAACAAATACTTATTATTTCTACTCTGTGCCAAGTATTGTTCCAGGTGTTAGCGATACAGTAGTGAATAAAACAGGACTAAGGTCTCTGCCCTCATGAAACATTTGTTCTGGAGCAAGGGGTGGCAGATGGTATATATATATATAGAACCTCATAAGCACTGTGGGGGAGAAAGCAGGGAAGGGGATGGGCAGTCCATGTGGGAAAGGCTGAGTGCAGTGTCATGTGAGGATTCGGTGGGGGGAGGGGCTCTCTGAGAAGGGGACACAGGAACAAAGCCCTGAGGGAGGGTGGGCTCCCTGTGGGTGTCAGGAAAAGGGTTCCAGGCAGAGAAGAGGTTAGGGATTGAGATTTAGGTTTAGCCCTGGAGTAGGTGCCTTGGGGTATGACCAGGCAGCTCCCAGCAGCCTCAAAAGAAAAGGGCTGGAAGGCCGATTTAGGCTCAATGTAAGAAAGAGCTTTAGGTGAAAGTGTTGCATCGGCTGGAGGTCACTATGCCTTACTATCTTATCACCAGGAATTCTGGTAGATAGAAAGGACCAGTGAGCAGGCTGGGGTCCCTTCCCCTGCCTGGCCCAGGGTGGCTGAACCACAGAGCTTCCCTGGGTGCAAGCAGGGTGTCAATTTCTGTAGTTTTTGAATGAGAAAGAAAGCTCAAAGGATGAGGGCATTTGTTGCTGGTGAGCTGGTGCAGTGGAGACTTTTGCCAGCCTCTCCCTGGGCCCACCAAAGGGAACCTACATTTCAGCAAGGCTTGCCAATGCCTCTTGAGCACATCAGAGTCAGAGAAGTCCTGCCTAGAACTGGAGCCCTAGATCCTGATGTCCCTGCAGGCTACCTGAGTATAGGTAGATGGTCCTTGAAGGTGGAACTCTGACGTTGGTGGTATGTGCAGAAAATATTCTGCTGAGGGCCCAGAGTGGGCTCCTTTGTCTAGAAACCTAGTCCTCCTCTTAAAGAAGCCCATGAACTTCCTAATTCTGGGCTTGGTCCTGGCCTTAGCAGTGCTTGCCCGCCCAGTCCACCCAGCACAAGGGTGACTCACTTGGTCTCCTCCAGTTCCTCAGTCCCCTGGATGGCATTGGTCTCATACTTGGTCCTCCAGCTGGTCACTTCAGTGTTGAGCTTGGACACAAGGCGCTGCAGCTCCGACTTCCCCCCCTGCTCTTCCTCCAGCTGCTCCTTCAGCAGGTCCAGGTCATGCTTGGTGTTGGCAAGACTCACCACGGCTGTGCTGCGGGACTGTGGGGACCAGCCAGTCAGTGGCCCTGGGGGCTTTCTACAGCCTCGAGGCCATTGCTTAGGTATGTGTAACATTGGCGCAACAGTGACAGCAAGTAATGGAGGGAAAAGACATGTGATTCTACAATCCAAACCATCAGGGTTTCATTTTCCTTATTTTCACCCTGTTATTGTCCACAAGGATATGTGATTTAATCTAGTCATGCACATCACGTACTACAGTTTTGTAGTTAACATTTTTACATGCTATTGTATCACCTCTTTTTCATGTTCCTTCTACATCTCCATAACCTATAACCTTTAAGGAGGCAGCTCTGTTACCACCAACTCCACCCCCAAACCAACCTTCGACTCTTCATCCAGCTGCCTCTTGTAATCATCCACTTGCGATGTCAGAGATGTCTTTATCCGTAGGATTTGATTGAGCCGACTCTGGGATTCTTCATGTTCCTGGCTCAGTTCACTATTTTCAGCTGGGTGAGAGGGGTGGAAGAAATATTGGATGAGGAACTGATTTCCCAGCCAGGTCTTAAGTCTCCTGGGGTATTGCTTCCAAAGTACCAAATAAGTATGGTAGCTTGGCCAACTGAGCAGGAACAGGGAGCGCAAGGAACAACTATGCCAGCCATCCAAAGTAAGTGAACCCAGGAGAGAAGCAAGTGCCCACGGGTTGCCAACATCTAGGTGACTTGCATGGAGTTAGGAGCCTCAGATAACAAAGCCCCCAGCTTCCAACTGTCAGGAGATATAGCAAAGCAATTTGGAGAAAACAGTGGAGCAGAGAGTGTTTGCAGTATAAAGTATATTTGTCACCATCCCAGAACCTACAGTCCTGTTATTTGTGGAATGACTGTGAGAGCCCAGCAATGTCCATGAGCCAAAGAGGAAGAGTGAGGGTTTCTGGTTCTACTCTTTAAGTCCTTTCATCTCCCTCAGCTTCACTGTTCTTGTCCATCAAATTGGGATATCAATTTTTAACAAGTATTCAGAATGTGAGAAACAAGGCCAAAGGATGCCTACAAGTTCTCTCAATGTCACACTGAAGCACTGTCTACCAGGCCCACCCACAGAGTATTTAGTTCTCTAAGGGAATGTGCCTCTGTTTAACTTACTGTTTACCCCTGATTAGAGCCCAGCCTCTGCAAAGTTAGATGTTAGCTTGTATAATGATAAGTTACTGATTATTTTTGTCATAGAGATGCAAAGGATTTCTTCTGGTGGGGGGAAAAACTAAACCCAGAGGTTACAGTATTATTGTGTGTGTGGACATTAACCAGTTTTGCATCTAACTTAGTCAAGTTATTTTGGCATTCATTTCCCAGCTGACTGTAAATCTCTGCTTCTCCAATGCTCTTTGAAGAGAGCTTTACCATTTTTCTGGTTCCTTTATTAATGAGTTAAATAAATCTTTGAAGCATGTTCACTTTATATTAGTATGTGGATCATATGTTTGAAAATGTTTGAAAATATTTGAAAATTGGATTTTGTCAGCATCAGTGTTCCTCCTGCTGATCTGACAGGGTAGGTGAGAGAACTTTTACAAAAATGCCTTGAATATGGCTCACACCTGTAATCCTAGCACGCTGGGAGGCCAAGGCAGGAGTATCGCTTGAGCTCAGGAGTTCGAGACTAGCCTGAGTAAGAGCAAGACCCTGTCTCTACTAAAAATAGAAAAATATCAGCTGGGCATGGTGACACCTGTAGTTCTAGTTACTCGGGAGGTTGTGGCAGGAGGATCGCTTGAGCCCAGGACTTGAGGCTGCAGTGAGCTATGATGATGCCACTGCACTCTAGCTGGGCAACAGAGACTGTCTCAAAAAAACCCCAAAATAACAACAAAAAACCTGTGAGTGGTGTTCTCTGTTTTACATTGTAAAGACATTACTTGGAATACTCAGCAGGTGTAATAAAATGTCCTTGTCTCATCGAAAGGGGATTGGATAGGAATTTTCCAAGGCCAAGAAAGTGCTGGGGAGAGGACCCAGGTGTGTTTCTTTTCGCTTCCTTCAGGATCCCTGTTCCTTTCCATGCACCACTCCTTGGGAAGCACCACTCCTTGGGAAGCTCACCTTGGAGGCAGGTCTTAATGGCATTGATTTCTGCCTGGTTTCTCTCCAGCTCTGCCACCTTGGCGTTGGCTTCTGATAAGCTGTCTTCCAGCTTTCTGACGTGGGCCTCTGTGTTCAGCTGCTCCGGATGAATAAAACCAGTGGGGAAGCCGGGCGCAGTGGCTCATGCCTGTAATCCTAGCATTCTGGGAGGCTGAGGCGGGCGGATTGCTCGAGGTCAGGAGTTCGAAACCAGCCTGAGCAAGAGCGAGACCCCGTCTCTACTATAAATAGAAAGAAATTAATTGGCCAACTAATATATATATAAAATTAGCCGGGCATGGTGGCGCATGCCTGTAGTCCCAGCTACTCAGGAGGCTGAGGCAGCAGGATTGCTTGAGCCCAGGAGTTTGAGGTTGCTGTGAGCTAGGCTGACGCCACGGCACTCACTCTAGCCTGGGCAACAAGTGAGACTCTGTCTCAAAAAAAAAAAAAAAAAAAAAAACCAGTGGGGAAGGGTATGGGGTTGGGCAGGCCAAACCCTCCTTGCTTCCCCCTGAAATTTTTCCCTCCCCCATGTCTGTTCCTCTTGTGTACCTCTCAGGATACCTACCTAATCCTAGAATGTTCCTCTCTTGGAAATCCCAAACAGCTCACCATTTTCTATCAGTATAAACCCAGAGCCTTTGGGTGGGCACACAGCCCCTCATTCTGGCCATTCCCCCTTTCACAGCCCCTCCAGATTCCTGCACACCACACCCAATAAGAAAATGCAGTGAGCTGTTTTAAGGAAAAATACTGGCATTAGTGCAGGGGTCTGTAGATAAAACAGGAACTATGAAGATGTCTTGTAAGTATCTGAAGTTTGGGGACTGCAAATAGTTGCTGGCTCACTTTTGATTCCCCCCTTTCCTAGTGTCACAAGGGGCTCTTCACCAGGTAGGTGCTCAATAAATGCATGTTGAATGGCTTACCAGCTTCATTTTCTTTCTTGTCATGGATCACTTTTTCTTTGAATTGTGGCATGGTATGCATTTATCTTATTTCTCCTATTGGTTGCTAACTCCATGAGGACATAATTATACTAATGAAATGAAAATTGTAACTGCACATTTATTGAGCATTTGTTATGTGCCAGGGCCTATTGCAGCCCTCACAATAGTGCTCTGAGTGGGGATTATTACTACCATCCCTGTGTTATAGATGGGAAGACTGAAGCACAGTGAGATTATATAGTGGGGCCTCCCTGTGGCTGTGGGAGGGGGCTGTCCTCACCTTGGACTTCTGCATCGTCTCCACACTGGCATTGAGGTCGTCGATCTCAGCCTTCATCACTTGCTTGTCCTTCTCCAGCTTGGACTTGATCCTCTGCAGGCTCTCCACATGCTCTGTCAGCTCAGCCATGGAGTCCGTGTGCTTCTTGCGCAGCGTGGAGGCTGTTGCCTCGCTCTGCAGGGCCGCTTCCTCCAGCTCACGCCGCAGCTTTAGCGACTCGGCCTCCCGCTTGCGGTTCTGCTCAATCTGGGGTAGGAGAGCAGCAGGGCTCAGCAGAACGGGCCAGCCTGGCCTCCTTGGGGTGGACACTGTCCACCTGCTCACTAGTCCCCTGGTATTCCTGCCCCTCACTAGAAGTCCTGACTGAAATGTTATTCCTTAACCTTTGGACATGTTGCCCATAGGATGTGTTTAGGTAATGTTGTGTGTTGAATCATGCCTCCTAAAAAGATATATCCAAACCCTAAACTCAGGCACCTGGGAGTATGACCTTATCTGGAAATAGGGTCTTTGCAGACATAGTTAAGATGTCATACTCAATTAGGGTGGACACTAATACAATGACAGATGTCCTTTTAAGAAGAAGGAAATTTGGGCCCAGAGAGACACCCAGGGAGAAGGTCCTATGATGATAGAGGCAGAGATTAGAGTGATTTCATCCAGCTGAGGAACACCAAGAATTGCTGGCAGCTGCCAGGAGCTGGGAGAGAGGCCTGGAAGAGACTCTTCCTCAGAGCTCCAGAAGGAATAACCCTGCTCACACCCTGATTTCAGACTTCTGGCCTCCAAACTGTGAGAGAATATAGTTGTGTTGTTTTAAGACATCCAGTTTGTGATAATTTGTTATAGTAGCCCTGGGAGACAAACACAGATAGCAACTCTTGCCTTGTGTGTTTCTCTTCTTTGCCTGTATATAACTTCTAGATCTTCTCTACTCCAAGTTTAGACCATGGGCTGGGGGGTACCAGCATCACTTGGGGGCTCATCAGAAATGCAGAGTCCACACCCAGACCTTTTGAACTAGAATTTTCATTTTAATGATACCCCAAAACCCACATACCAGAATCAGAACCAGTATTCCAGCCACTCTTGGGCACTGGCTGTTTGCTCCTTGCCTCCCTAATGGTCCATTCTCTACCCAGGTCCCTCCATAATTCCAGCTCCTATCAGGCAGGCCCTCCTCCCTGGCTCTGGCTCTCACAGCCCCATAACCCTGCATCCTCTTGTCCCTTTGGTCCAGGGGCAGTAATGGGTCCCTGGTGCCAGTCTCTGGTGCCCTGCTGTTCTCTTAACCCTCCCTACACTGCTAGCAGTAGTCCCTTCGTTCATGCCTCATCATTCAAACCATTGGAATGATTTTGTTTCCTGCCAGGACCCTGACCACAGCTGAGTACCAGCTTCAGTTCTGAGCATGCACCCCCAGTGAAAGGACAGTGGCCAGGAAAGTGAGGAAATGGATGTAGAGTCCAGGCAGCAGTAGGTAAAGGAAGCCCTGCTGTCCAGCAACAGGGAAACAGCCATTGTGCCTTGTGCTATGCCTGAGGGTCTGCATTGCAGGAGAGCTGACTACATGCAATTAGGAGGAGGTTGTGTGGTTTCTGCAGGTCCCCAGGACACTGTCATGTGAATCAAAGAAGCTGAAGCCCTACACCAGGAGGTGAGGCTCTAACTCCAGCCCCCCTTCACCTCTCAGTGGGGTGCACTTGGAGTGTGGGGCAGTGGGGTTACTCTACTGTATTAATATATTAACCTTGTCGTTATTTTCTGTATTCTTTTTTTTTTTTTTTTGAGATTCATTTTTTTTTATTTCAGCATATTATGGGGGTACAGATTTTAAGGTTTCAATAAATGCCCATTTCCCCCCTCCCCCCACAAGTCTGAGTCTCCAGCATGACCATCCCCCAGATGGTGCCCATCTCACTCATTATATATGTATATACCCGCCCCCCTCCCCCCTGCCCAATACCCTATTACTGCAGTACCTATGTGACCACTTAGGTGCTGTTCAGTTAATACCAATTTGCTGGTGAGTATATGTGGTGCTTGTTTTTCCATTCTTGGGAAACTTCACTTAATAGTATGGGTTCCATATTTTCTGTATTCTGATGCTTTGACATCTGAGATCTTACTGATGTTGCAGGGCCCGCCCCCTCCCCACGCCCCACTCCCCACCACACCAGAGACAGCAAACAGCTCACCCTGGAGTGTGCTATTCAAATCCAAACCAGTCAATCTAGAGCCCACAGGGCAACAACCTCTGGAGGGCACTCACATTCATTTGGGGTCACGATCCACCTGCCCTATCACTCCAGGGCCAAGTACCAGGCAATTGGGGATAGTCCCTGTGCCCCAGAGCCACTGAGATTACTCAAACTGGCCAGTCCTAAGCCAGTTTTACCCACCTTGCCTGTTCCTTGCCATAGAAACCACAGGAAAGGCTCTTGCCCACATTTCCCTTTGCCACACCACATGCTCTTCCTGGCCAAGCCCAGTGCTCCACAGGGAATAGCGATCCCCTCCTCAAGGAACCGTGGATAACAAACTGTCTTTTCAAAGGCAGGTATCTGCTGATCTGTTGGCCTTACTACACCTCACATTGCCTATTAATACACTGTATTTAAATGCCTGCCCTCTGCATCCAGTCTCTCTCCTGCTTCCGTGAACATGGCTGAGCTACGGAGCCCCAGCAGAAAGTGAACTGAACAGCTCCTCCCATACCTACTCGTTATTATTAGTTGGTTTCTCTTCCAGTTAGTCTCATGACTTTAGCAAGAACTAACTGGTTTTTATCCCACTGCTCACAGTCCAGCATTTTTTCTCCCCGAAGACAATACTGTGGGTTCCTGGCCCCCCAGGATGAGTACCTGAGCAGATGTGGCTCCACCAGCTTCCTCCAGCCTGTCGCTAAGGTCTTCGAAGTCCCGGGACAGGTCGCTGCGTTGTTTTTCCACCTAGGGATAGGTTTAATGGCACTGATGGAAGCCAGCCATAGCTCCTTTTTCTCTAGTAAAGAGCATGGTGACCACATCACATCTGAGAAGCCAGGGCCTGCACCTGGGGAGTCTTGTTCCCTGCCTGCCATCCACAGTGAAGGCTCAGTGAAGGACATTATGTGTCCTCCCCACATTGGGTGGGTATTAGTGCTCACCTTACTCTGCTGCCCAATTTGGCTGAATTTGGAGGTTAGGCACATTATGATGTGTCTCCCACCAGCTTTCTGGCTTCACTACCCTGTAAGAGCCCCACCCCTAAGCCCCTTTCCATGCTTTGCTCTTCCTAACACATGTTTTCTCGTTTTACACCTTTGTCCCTGTGAAGGTAGGTGCCATTATGTTCCCATTGCCTAGAAATCCCTCCCTGCATCAACCTGTTGAATTCAATCTTTGAGGTCAAATGTTTCCTCCTCCACCTGCCCCAAGCAGACCAGCCTCTTTTCTGGTCTCACCCACCTGTGGTATCCGTGCCTTGCACATCCTCATGCATGTGGGTGTGTAACACAGTGCCTGGCACACACTGAGTGCTCAAGAAATGACTAGACTTTTTGATCAGACACCTGTCCTCTCTGTTGGTTTTCTGAGTGGGAGTTTCTACTAATGGTGGGATGTGTGGTTGTCATTAGGTCCTTTGACTTAGGAAGGGATAAAAGCATTTTGCTTACCTTGGCTCTCATTGCCCTCTCAGCTTCCAGTTCTTCCTCCAGCTCTTCAATTCGGGCCTAGAGGACACATAGGAGACAGATAAGGGAGACTCGTCTCTCCTAAGAAAAGTTACAAAGTCACCCTCTTGGCCTTTTAGAATAGAAAATAGGGACAGGAGCTTATGATGGCCACGGTCAAAGGCGGAGAGAAGCAGGTCCCAGAGAACACGTGCAAAGGCCCTGAGGTGGAGGGAGCCTGGCATGTGTGAGACTCAGCAAGGAGCCTGCATGGCTGGACAGAGTGGTGGTGGAACAGGAAGTGATGAGATCAAGGAGGAGCAGACATTAGATGGAGGAGGGCCTCGTAACCACTGTGAAGAGTTTGGATCTGACCCTGCATGAGGTAAACACAAGTTGATCTCCAAGGACTCTGTGGCAGTCTTGTTTCTCAGGAAACCTTAGCAGCCAATCAGCTGCTGTGAACTAAGGGTGCAGAGAAGTGCATTTCAAAAGGAGATTATTGGCTTCTCAGTCCTGGACATACCTGGTGTTCCTTTAGTTTCCGCTGCAGTGTGGAGTTCAGAGACTGCTCATCCTCATATTGAGAATTGATAGAATTTATTTCCATATCCCTCCTACAAGGAAAGGTTTGGTCTCCTGAGGAAAGGCTCTGAGGGTGGCCCAGCGAGCTGGTGAGGGAACGATGCCTGGGCTGCCAGAGGAGGCCTTGGACCTGCCATAACCCACCCTCTCCCAGACCCTGGCCTCTGGGGTGACACCCATGGAACAGCACACCCCAGAATCTTCTCCATGGGCTTTTTGTCACTCACACATTCATTCCTTCACACATTTACTGTTTTGGGCTCCAGGTACACATCAGTGAACAAATGGGACAGCAGTCACTGCTCTGGTGCAGCTTACATCCCAGGGGCTCCAGAAACATGTATGCTTTGCCTTTTAGGAAAAACTTTTCCTCCAAAAACTTTCCACAAAAGGCTCTATCTCCTTCAGATGTGTGAGCTCCACATTCAAGGAGCCACATGTGAGAACTAAGATGCCAGAGGCTGAGCAGATGAAGACAGGCAGAGTCGCACATGTTATCTATGTGTGCCACAGAAGAAATGTGCCAAGATACAGATCTAGCTGCATACACTCCTCATCAAGGTCTCTAGTGGGGTTTTTTTTTTCGTTTTGTTTTTGAGACAGAGTCTCACTCTGTTGCTCAGGCTAGAGTGCCGTGGCATCAGCCTTGCTCACAGCAACCTCAACTCTTAGGCTCAAGTGATCTTCCTGCCTCAGCCTCCCAAGTAGCTGGGACTACAGGCATGTGCCACCATGCCCGACTAATTTTTTCTTTATATTTTAGTTGGCCAATTAATTTCTTTCTATTTTTAGTAGAGACGGGGTCTCGCTATTGCTCAGGCTGGTTTCAAACTCCTGACCTTGAGCCTCCTGACCTCCTGCCTCAGCCTCCCAGAGTGCTAGGATTACAGGTGTGAGCCACCACGCCTGGCCAAGGTCTCTAGTGTTTTAAAACTGCCTTTGCCAGAGTGATATTGATAAAATACACCATCAACTCCTTGTTACCCCTGAGAGACCAGTTCATAGGTTTCTATGAAGTCTCCCTGCCCTGCTTAGGCCTCAGCGTTCCAGGTGCTCGTTTCCTTCTCAGCTCCCACCAGGCACTGCTCTGTATCCTCCGTGCCAGGCATAGGTCTGGCACACAACAGGTACTCAGGACACACATTATTGTATGTGAAGCCCACAGCACCTAGCACCGGGCACCATCCAGGCAGCTCCAGCTATTGCTAACATGGTGACAGACAAAATGAACAATGACGCAGGCGTACTTTTTCACCACCTCCTCAAGATCCAGCTTGGAGCGCAACATCTCATTGAGCTTGTCAATGGTCATCTTCAAGTCACCCTCAGCTTTCCGGCGAGCCTTTTCCACCTCTGCCCAGAGTTTCTTTTCCTGCTTCCAGTTATCCTCCAGCTACAGCAACAAGAAAAGCAAGAGACGGTATAGAGGAGGGGAGTCTGGGGGCAGAAGGCAAGAAGGAAGCAGACTGGGCCTGGTCCCTCACCTGTGGCATCAGAAAGGCCCTCACACTTCAGGTCATGTGTCAGTCTAGGTCCCATAACTTATCTGAGCACACTGTGCCCAAGAATGGACCTGGCCCTTGAGTTATAGAAATGGCCCCAGCAACGAGTATTACCTCGTGGATCTGGGTGCTCAGTTTGCTGTTGTTCTTGGTCAGATGGTTCACCTTGTCCTCCTCAGCTTGCAGGTCATCCAGGGTTTTCTGGAAGGAAAGATACACACGTGTGTCCTAGGCACTGCAGGGGAAGCTGAATAGGCCTGGTCCTCAGTCATAACTTCTGAGCTGTGCAGCCCCCAAGCTTTGGGAGGTTGAGTTGACTTCAGTGAGTAGTTACTGAGCACCTGCTCCTGTGTGCTGGCTGGGGCCAGGGCAGACAGACCCGAGCACCCATTACGGGGTCATTTGGAAGCTCTGTTTCTCCAGTGGGCATATCAGAAATCTTTCTTTTTCTTTTTCTTTTTAGCTAGCTCTTACAAATCAGGCATATTGGAAATCTGTGGGGTGCTTCTGGCTGTCACAGTGACTGGTGGGCCCACTGATGTTTAGTGAGTGACTCCAAGGATGCTGGATATCCCACCTTGCTCTGGACAATCCAGCACCATGGTGACTAATTCTGCAGTCCACATGCCTGATGTCCCACCCAGGCATTCATGTAAGTGAAACAACCATTTATGCTCTTCTGAACCTAGAACCCAGCACCACTTTACATGTAGCTCAACATTCTTTTTCATTTAGTATGCACTACATTTTACGAGAATGATCTACCATGAAAACTGAGACATTTGTTATTATTCAAAATTTCCCCAAGGGTTATTCACTGTTTTGTAAAATCGCATCCCCAACAACAGCCACACCCTCCTGTGCTGTCTCCTAGTCCATCTGCCTGAGCTTGTTTCTACATGCTGACAACTGCTATTTATTCTAAATTGCCTTTCATCCATTTCTCGTTTATATCAAAGGGCATGCTATTGATTGTTTGAAGTTATGTATTATTTATAATTTTTACTTTGGGATAATAAGAGGGCCTTGCAAAATACATTTGATTCTCATTATTTGTGGATTCCCTACTGTTGATTCACTTACTTACTAAAAGATATTTGTAATCCCAAATTAATAATCATGGTGCTTTCATGGTCATTGGCAAATATGTACATGGTAGGGAAAATTTTGAGTCACCCGATATACACATTCCCAGCTGAGTTTGAATAAGGTGATGCTCTGCCTTCTTGTTTCAGCTCTGAAATATAAATGTCATTTTTATGCTCTACTTAATGCCATGTTTTTTTACTTTTATCTTTTGTTTTGTTTTGTTTTTTATTGATAATTTTGCTATTTAAAGTGGCCCCTAAGCATATTCCTGAAGTGCCTTCTAGTGTTCCTAAGCATGAGAAGGCTATAGTGATCCTTACTACAAAAATATATGTTAGATAAGCTTTGTTTAGGCATGAGTTATAGTGCTACTAGCCGTGAGTTCAAAGTTAATGAATCAACATTTTATATCAAATAAGGTGTCTTTCAACAGAACACACGTAAAACAAAGTATTATGTTGATCGTAATTGTATATATTATGAATTAATTGGTTGACAAAAATGTTATGGCCAGAGGCATGTAGGAACCTAACTCTGTGTTTCTCCTAAGAGCAATGGTTGGTATTTGCTAATTCAGTATTTGTTAATTCAGTGTTTGTGGCAACTTTACAGAACAATTTTACAGAACTACTGTGCATAACAAGAACTGACTATATTTATTGTAAAAGGAGGCCTTGGGTCTGATATGATTGAGAATCACAGCCTAAAGGAGGCAGTTCCAGAGGCAGTGGAGAAAGGGGATCAGGGGACATGCTGTGGATTCATGATGTCAGCAAACACAGGGATGAGTGTCAGCTCTCAGCTTTGACCTGTTCTTTGTACCTGTGTCACTAGAGGTCAGCGCTGGCAGCTGGTCAGAGCTAGCTCTGCATTCAGAAGCCTGAGCCATAAAAGCAGCCCTGGGAAAGTAGGGTGGGTCTCCTCATGACCTCACGAGCTTGTGGCTGTTGTTGCCATGGTGCATTAGGGTCCACTGGGCTTTGGAGCTTACGGGGCACTTCCATACACCCCACAGCATACTTACCACTCTGGTGACCATACCTCCCAATGTGCCTGGGCACAACCTGACTCATAAGTATTAACAGCTCCCTGTTTCATCCTCAAAACTGTCCTACTTTATAAGATAAATTATATGGTTGTCCTACTTATAACACACCTGGAAGGAAGGCATCAAGATGTGACCACACCCACTTCACTGATGAGGGAATTGAGATTTAGGGAGATTCCTTGACTTCCCTAAGGCCCCCAGTTGAGGGGCAGCAAGGCCAGGATATGAACACCAGGCTCCAGTCTCCACACACAAAACACATTGTTCAAAGCTCCACCTGCTCTGCCAAGGGGAGATACAGGGAAACCTACCTGGTGCAGCTCTTCCAGGGCCCTCTTCTCCTTCTGGAGCTTGGCAATGGAGTCTTCACGGAGCAAGAGGTCCCCACTCAGGGTGCAGACCTTGTGATCCAGGGCCTGGAAACCCAGGTGAGGAGAGAGATGGGTCCTTAAGACTGGAAACAGCCTCCATAAGGAGGAGAGGGGGGTCCTAAGCTTGGTGGCACCCTAGAGTTTCCTGGGAGTTTAAGAAATGCCAGCGCCCAGGGCATATCCCGGACAAACCAAGTCAGAATCTTACAAGTGTTGGGGAGCAGTGGGAACCACTAGTTTAGGGCGTTCTTGCAAAAAACATGGTTCCCAGACATCAGCAGTGGCATCACCTGGGAGTGTGCTAGAAACACAGACCCTTGGGCCCTGCCAGTCCAGAGTCTGCACCTTGTCGGTATCCCCGGTCGTTTGTGTGCATAGCAAAGTTGGAGAAGCACAGGTTTAGGCAGAAGCCACCTTACCCTGCTCGTGAGCTCTACCCACCTGTGACGGCAGGAAGGGGCCAGGGCTTCCCCAGGGAGCTGCTCAGAGGGAAGCAACTGCTTATTTGTCAGAAATCCAACAGCTAAAGGTGATCCCTTCTCCATGACAGTAACAGCTCTCAGTCACCTTAGTCAGCTGCTCTGTCCAGCAGAATTTTCTGCAGTAATGGACATGTTCTCTGCCTGTGGCACTTAATACACGTGGCTCTGAGCACTCAGAATGTGGCTAGTGCAACTAAGGAGCTGCATTTTAAATTTTATTGCATTAATTGAAATTAAAATAGCCCCACGTGGCCAGTGGCTGAGGCACTGGGCATCACCACGGTGGAGGCTCCTGATGTCCTTGAAGGTGAACAGGCAGGGGTGCCCTGGCCTGAGAGGAGCGTGATAGGACCCAGGCAGTCCTCACCTGCTTCTCCTTCTCTGTCTTAGCCAGCGTGGTTTCAAGGCCCTCCAAGTCCCTCTTCAGGTCACTCAGCTCCCCCTCTAGCCTGTGCTTGGCAGCACTCAGCGAGGCTGCTGTGCCCTCTTCCTCCTCCAGCCACTCCCGCATGTCTGCGATGGAGCTCTCCAGCTCCATCTTGGTCTTCATCATTTGGGTCAGGCGTTCCTCTGCATCCATCAGGTTCTCTTGCTCCTGTTGGAAGAAAGAGCCCCAGTCAAAGGCAGGTACCAGGTACCTGCGAGGGATCCAGACACCATCACCAAGACGGTGGACAAGCCTAGGGCTGATAATCCCTGAAAAATGTGTCTTTGGGTAGACAAGAGGGTGGGCTATCTCTAAGCTCCTTTTACAATGTGTGTGACAAAACATAGTATAGTGTAGGAGGGTGGTCTGGGATCAGCAGCCACAGCAACATCACTTGGACACAAACCTGAGACCTGCTGTCTGACTCTGCATCACCCTAGATGAACAGCTTCACCTTAAGGTGTTGGCAGGTTGTCTACCTACCTTGACCAAGTCTCTAAATGTCTGCCAACTGGGTTTTCTACCCTGTACGAGACATATGAAAACTGGGTGTTTTATGGGGTGGTTGTGAGGGTCAAATCAGAGAAGAGACAGGATAAGCTTTGGGAGCCAAAAGGATGCCAGCAGCAGATGCACCACAGGGCATTTAGTCACCACCCTACAGAAACTGTCATTTATTCTTCCCTGCCGTGTTTCCCCTTGGTTTTTTGTTTGTTTTGTTTTGTTTTTTGTTTTGAGACCAAATGTTGCTCTGTTGCCCAAGCGAGAGTGCCATGGCATCAGCCTACCTCACAGCAACCTCAAAGTCCTGGGCTCAAGCAATCCTTCTGCCTCAGCCTCCCGAGAAGCTGTGCCTCCTGAGTACAGGCGTGTGCCACCATGCCCTGCTAATTTTATATATATATATATTTTAGTTGTCCAGATAATTTCTTTCACTCTTGCTCAGGTCTCACTCTTGCTCAGGTTGGTCTCAAACTCCTGACCTTGAGTGATCCTCTTGCCTTGGCCTCCCAGAGTGCAAGGATTACAGGCATGAGCCACCACACCTGGCCATGTTTCCCCTTGATAGGTGAGGAAAAGGAGGTACAGGGAGGATAAGTTGCCAAGTTCACAGGGCAGAGCTGAGCTCTGACTCCAGGGGGTGCTCTTTCCGACACATCTCCCGGCCATCCCTGGACTTTCCCCACAGGTGGGGCCTGTGGCTGTGTGCCCGCCCCGTGGTGATGTGCAAATAAGAATATGATGGAGACTTTTTGGTGGTTGGGTCAAGGGTGACATGGTAATGAAGGGAAAGTGAAGGCTGGGGAATTTCCCCGTGGTCCAGAGGGACATGGCTTTTTAGAAGAGCTCACCCTTCCTCCCTGCCCACCAGGGCCTCCAAGCCTCCTGCCCTTCTCCCCGAGGACCCCACGTACAGCCTGCAGCTGGATGGTGAGGTCATTCTTCTCCTGGCTGAGTGTGGCCATCTTCTCCTCCATTTCCTTGACCTTATTGAGCAGCTCCTGGGTCTTGGCCATGGTACTCCTCAGCTCCACTTCCTTGACTTTCATCTCCTCCTCTTGCTGAGCCACATTCAGGAGTGGCTTGACCTGGGCGATGAGCAATACCAAAGAATGTTAGGAGGGTGGATTTGCCAGGGGGATAGATGGTGGGCTGTGAAGTGTCTGCTCAGGTTTGACCTCACAGCAGCATGGTGGTGGGAAGCAGCTCTTGCTGCAGCTCTGCAGGCCTAGTCTCTCCACAGGTGCCATCTCTAAGGCTGAGCTCCTTGCCTTAAAGCATCCCTTGCAGCCCTAGCCTCAACAGAGAAGGTCTGCCATCACTCAGGACCAATTCTTAGGATGCTCTTTAATCCCAGTAGATGCAGAGTTAGTTGTTTCTCAGCATCTAGGGTAAAACAGCAAAATACCCAGGCCAGCTGTGTGGCTTATGATGTTATGTAGCATTTTACTAAAATTCAGTTCTCTACCTGAAAAATAAGAGAAATCATCATGAGGTTTAAAGGGATGGAACACACAACGACACTTCTATAGATGAAAGATTCTTTCATCACTGTGGTCTCACTCAGCCTTGGCCTCCACAAACACAAAAAATAGGGATATCAGCTTTAGCAGCTTCTCAGGGGCATTGAGAGAACACAGAAAAATGATGTTGGAGGCAGCTTTGGGCACAGCAGAGGGACAACGCAAGTGCCACACTCTTACGGTGGCAGAAACGGCTGTGGCACAGCAGGAAGGACCAAAGATGGAATGCTTACATCTGTTCTGTACATTGTGTGTACACCAGGAGCCCTGGTGAAATGCACAGCTTTGGGTTCCCTTCCCTTTCTTCCTTACTGATTTTTCCCTCTTCTCTGTCTCTCTCTTTCTGTCTCTCTGTGTTTTTCTCTCTGTTTCTGTCTCTGTCTCTCTTGTTTTTCAATCTTTTACCCTCTCTGTCTCTGTTTCTGCCTCTGTCACCCTCTCTGACACCCTCTGTGTCTTTCTCTCTCTCTTATGCTGTGTCTCTAGCTCTTTTTGTCTGTCTCTCTGTTGCTCTGTCTCTCCCTCTTTCTATTTCTATCTCTCATTCTCTCTCTGTCCCTCTCATTTTCTCCCCGCTCCCCTTCTTTCACCTTCTCTGCAACATGAAGCCCCAACTCTCACCGTGGCCTTGCAAGCCTTCCACAGTGCAGCCCCTGCTCGCTCTACGCTTGCTCAGCTGGTACTTCCTGCCTCTGGCCGTGCCTCTGTTGCCCCCATGTTGTAGGGCTGGCCTTCTTTGCCATTCAGCAGAGCGCAGTCGCTCCTGTTCTGCACTCCCAGCATCCATCTGGACCTCTCGATGCGTTTGGCACTTCTCAGTCTGCATCAGAGTGCCAGGGTCTGCTAGATCCCATCACCTACATTCCTCTGCCTTGTGTCTGCAAGCCCCTTAAAGATCTCCCTCTGCCCTCTCAGGTCTCTACAATACTGAGTGGAGCCTGCAGAACAGGACCTCTGGGAAAATTTCCTGAGTCAAATGGTACGTTTCCAAGGAGGGCAAATGCCATGGACTTGGATTTGGGAGGAGGCGCACGTCTCTTAGAAGATAACATATAAATTTTGATCATTGCCAGCCTGGCCGTTGGGGATCTGGGATGTCACAGTGGCAAAGTTTGCAAGAAGCACCACAGCTTGCAGCTGTGTAACACATTTTATTCAGTGGATACCTGCTGTAGGTGTTTTCTTCCACTGATCCATCCTCTCTGGCTTTGTTAAATAAGGTCAGAGCCTTGTTAAAAAGCCAAGAGGAAAAGTTTTGGTTTTTATTTCACTAATTAGAACAGGACCTTGCTCTGTGACATCTAATTAGTAAAGAGCAGAGAAGTTTACATCTCTTGCCACTGCGTCCTGCACAGAAAGAATCTTAAAGGCTGTTGGTCTGGGTCTTCCCAAAGTGTAACTCATATACGGGGGGGGGGACTGGTGAGATGCCTTCAAGTGTTACATAGAAACCCTTTGATGTGAGTTGTTACATAGTTACTATAATAGACAATTTTAAAAATGAAAAAGAGCTCATCAAATCCACAATTTCATGCATAACATTTGCTTGGGATGAGATTAAAGCAGGTAAGGATATTAAGATTTCTTTTAAAATAAAATTTTCAAAATGAAAAATGGTGAATTGATGTAAAGAAGCTCAGTCACAGGACACATGGTAAAAGCCAGGCAGTACTGGCAATAACTGGCCTTTGAGAGCGGCTTGTCCAGATTCCTCTCTGGTCTCAGTCCCTCCAGGGGACTGGCCTGCCTGCGATACCTTTGGGGATGCAGGACTTACTGTCCCTCCCTTTCCATTTGTGGTCAGCACTGATTGTTAGTGAGTTCTTTCCTACTGGGAATGGAAAGAAGCTTCTTTGTGAGCTATGAAGGACTCGGGGCCACCCAAGATGACTCAGAGCCTGTTCCCACCCCCCGCGTGGCTGCCCCAAACAACACTGTCCTGTTTCTTGAACACAGCTGCCCGTGTCTAACCTCCCTCCTCTGGTGCCCAGGGGCATGTTCCCTCTTACTGGTGACCCCAGCCCTGGCATGACTGGACTCCCACGCAGTGGGATGGCTCATGGCCTCTTGCATCGGCTGAGGGTGGCCTGCCTGCTCGGGGTATCTGCAGCCACTCCAGCTGGCTGACCCACACTGCCCTCACTGCCATCTTGGAAGAACCTGGAAAATGAAAGGTCAGATCCCATATTTCTTGAGGTCCCTCAAGCTTTGAGGCCAAGGACTCACTGAAGGAGCTGAAAATACCTCAGTAAGCCCAAGGGCAGGGATCAGTAGCCAAGCCTACTCTTTTTGGTGGGACTGTATGGCTCTATCCTTTTTTTATTTTTTTCACTCCATATGTCCCTTCACTCTCTCCATCTTAAGTGGATATTATTTTGAGGGATGAGATGGAAGGTTGAAAGACACACCATGATTTTTCTCTGGGGGGGATTAGCCCCTGTCTGGAAGGAGGCTAGACTCCTTCCACTCCAAGGCACCCTCATTTTCACACTGTTCTTGTATCCCTCCCCCCCCCCCGCCCCACCTCCATCCAGGACCAGGGCCCCCCAGTCCACAGGCAGCAGCAGTCCTGGTCCTTCAGCCCTCACCTTATTGTAGAGCTTCCACCAGCCCCAGAAACGTAGCTTCAGGAACTTGCACACATTCCGCTGAATGACTTTCAGGCCAATTCTGCAAAAAGAATTGGGATTGCATGGGTTAAAATGAAGGTGTCTGGACCTGGCTTCTCTGGGGAGGGGCTGGGCAGGGAATGGAAGCCAGTAGATGTACTTGGTGCAGACACAAAAATACTTTATCAGGACCCTACGTTGCCCATGTGGTCTGGGGCAGCAAGACTCAGGCTGGAGTCAGAGCCCAGCAGTGGGTTAAGGGAACAAAGATGGAAGCCAGTGCAACCAGGTCCCTCCCAGATGGCTGAGACAGACCAATCATATACTCCTGCATTTTCCCTCCTTCCGCTCCTTCACCAGAAATCACTCATTAGTCTCTAAATCCTAGATCTGTGCAGTCTCTGGAATCTGCCCCTTTCTTGTCCCCTGTAGCTTCATTCAAATGTCATTTACTGAAGACCCTACCATGCACAGAGGCCCTGGGCTGGATCTGGCCAACATCCCTCGCGTCAGCCCCTAACTGGTGTCCCTGCCTTCAGTCCAGGGTCTTGGATGGCCTGCTAGTGGGTAGCAGGTATTCAAATTCTACAACCACAAAGAGCCAGAGGCAACCACAGGTCATCTGGGATGGACACAGCAATTTTTAAGTTACTGTGTTAGGGAAATGGCTGAAAACATGATTCTAAGGAATTTATTTTTTTTATTTTTATTTTTTATTTTTTTTTGAGACAGAGTCTCGCTTTGTTGTCCAGGCTAGAGTGAGTGCCGTGGCGTCAGCCTAGCTCACAGCAACCTCAAACTCCTGGGCTCAGGCGATCCTCCTGCCTCAGCCTCCCGAGTAGCTGGGACTACAGGCATGCGCCACCATGCCCGGCTAATTTTTTTATATACATATCAGTTGGCCAATTAATTTCTTTCTATTTATAGTAGAGACGGGGTCTCGCTCTTGCTCAGGCTGGTTTTGAACTCCTGACCTTGAGCAATCCACCCGCCTCGGCCTCCCAGAGAGCTAGGATTACAGGCGTGAGCCACCGCGCCCGGCCGATTCTAAGGAATTTAGAGCGAGAAATCCTGGATTCTAATCCTGAATCTGCATGAAGCTGGTCTGGTTCTTTAACCCCTCTGACCTCAGTTTCTATATCTGTAAAATGGGTGTGCTGGCCCTGCCACATCTCTCTCACAGCATGATCACATGTACTGAGTAAGGGGAAGGCTGTGAAAGTAAATTGAAACTGTAAAGAAAAGGGTTTATATTAGCTGGTCCCTATAAGGGATTGAATTGTGTCCTCCAAAAAGATACTTTGAAGTCTTAACCCCCAGTACCTGTGAATATGACCTTATTTGGAAATACGGTCATTTCAGATGGAATTAGTTAAGATGAGGTCATACTGGGGTGGGGTGAGCTCTAATCCTATATGATGGGTTCCTTATAGAAAGAGGAAAGATGATGTAAAGACACAGACATGTGGGAAGAACATGTGTGAAGACAGAGGCAGGGATTTGAGTGCTGCATCCACAAGCAGAGGGACAATTGGGGCGACCTGTGCTGGCAGTGCCAAGAAAGAATCCTCTCCTAGAGGCTTTGGCTGGGGCACAACCCTACCAACCCCCTAATTTTGGACTTCTGGCCTCCAGCTGTGAGAGGATAAATTCCTGTTGTTTTAAGCCATCCAGTGTGTGGAATTTGGTTATGACAGCCCTAGCAGACTGATATAGGCCCCACACACAGTCTCTGGGCCAGCAAAGACATTGATGTCCACCCCGCCCTCACTACATGGTGTGGCTAATGGAGCTGGCCCTTGTGTGTGTGGCATATGTGTGGCGTCAGCAGTCCTTTCCTGTTGGTGTTTGTGAGTGCTACCTTCGTTCCAGCATCTTCTTAAACTCGACCCTCATGAGGAAACCCCAGAGCCGACACTGCAGCATCGTCATGATCTTGGCCAGATGCTCGTCCCGCATGTCCTCGAGCTTGGCCAGGATGCCTACACGGAAGAACACCTGTGGGAAAGAGGTACCCCTCTGAAGAAAGCCCAGCTGTCACCCAATGGCAGCCACTTGAGGAAGTTTTAAATCAAAGAATCAGAGGGTCAGAAGGGTCCTTAAAAGTTAAGGGACCCGGTCTGGTGCTGACGCCTGGGGCCAAAAGGAAACAGCTGACCCCAGCCTGGATACCTCCAGCAGCAGGGCACCCACTGACAGCCTTAGCCTCAAGCTCCTCTCACTAGGGTGCACCCCGGATCTGCCTAGCACCATGCAGGACTCCAGCCCTGGCCTTGCACTTACTAGCTGGCTCACCTTGGATACATCTCCTCACATCTCTGAGCCTCAGTTTCTTATCTGTGAAATGGGGATGCCCATCCCTCTCTCAGAGGGTTATTGTAAGGATTAAATGAGATAATTGGTGGAAAAGTTCTGTGAAGTTCTAAGTGAAATGTGGTAGACCATCATAGTCCTTATATCATGGTGATTGCCCTGCATGGCCAGGGTGGCAGGGGGTTCGGGTAGGGGTGGTTAACTTTCTCAGAAGATGGAATTTACCATGCTACATATTTTCAGCTTCAAGCTGGGGTGTGAGGGGGACTCACCCCAGGAAAGCAAGGCTGGCTTTGCAATGAGTGTTAGAAAGAGCTGGAAACATCCAGCCTCAGGGAAATGCAAATTAAGGTCCCAAGATATCATTTACCCTTCCCCACACTTGTAACATTTCTAACTTCTGATAAAACAAGTGTTGGCACAGGTATGGAACAAGGGGAGGGCGAATTGGCACAAGAATTTTGGAAAATGGGTTGACATTCCCTCATCAAGTTGGACATTTGTCACCTGCAACAGGCAGCCGTCTTCCCATATATCTCAGCCTGGGCTGCTTGCTACACCTGCCTGAAGGGCTTTTGAAAAATGCAAATGCATGGGCATAAGGAATTTCAAACAATTTCTGGGGCGGGGCTCAGGCACTAGAGTTTTTAAAATCTCCCCACATGATTTTAATGTACAGCCAAGGTTGAGGACTTTGTTCTAGAGAAACTCCAACATAGGACCATGGGCAAGGATGCTCATGGCAGCACTGCAATATGGTGTGGCTATGACAATGAATGAGTATCACGTACCAACAAGGACAACCTTAGAAACAGAATTAAGCGATGAAAGCATGTCATTGAAAAATGCCACAGAAGAGTGTTAAGTATGATATTTCCATGAAACTCAAAACCAAGCAAAACCTGGGATTGTATACACATGTGATAAAACTGATTTTTAAAAGGTAAGGGAATGGTTAACATAATTATTTAGGACAAGCATTACTGCTGGGGGTGGGGAGGAAGGGGAAGAAAGATGCACAAAGATCATATTCTGGGCTTTTAACTGGGTTTGTGGTTGCTCACTTTATTATTATGTCTCATAATGTAAAATCTTTTTACATGCTTCAGATAGGACATGATAGAAACTTTTAGGATAGAAGGTGCCAGGAGACCTGCATTCTGGCCTCAGCCTGCCTTCAATGAGTTATGTATGTTTCCTTGGTCAAGTCACTCTCCTTTGGGGACCAGAGAGAGTACAACTGCAGGAGCCCCACAACCTCTCAGCTGCTGGAGCCTGTCATTCTGCATGTGGGGGCTGGGAACAGAGCCCCCAGCTGAGTCCTTATGGGGAAAGGATGGAAAAGAATGCTCCTGCCTCCTTGCATTCCCCACCCCCTGCAAGAAAAACCTCCCAAGGAGTTAGATGTTACATCACAAGGTAGAGAAATCAGGCTTCCTTTCATAAAATGTGTCTTGATATTTCAAAATCAATTGGCATTGAGGGCTTCAAGACAGGGATGCCCAAAGTAGGCAGAGAGATGAGATCCACAGGAGGCTTTGGGGCAAGGGTTACAGCTTGGGAGTGAATGCTGGTATAGGTTGGGGGTTCTGGGAGGAGGTGTTCCTAGAAATTAAGAAACCCAAATCCTTTCCTTCCTGGCAGAGCTTAGAGTAGAGAAAAGGGCACTGGCCCAGGCAGAGAAGAATGGCTTCTTTTCCTGGGCTGTCAGTAGCCCCCTTTGTGATCTTGGACAAGTCCTTCCCCATTTAGGGATTTCAGAGGTCCTTGAACAAGGTGACCACCAGTGATCTTTCCTGATCCATCAATCTGTGGTTCTGTGTTCTAGGAAGTAGGGCAGTAGGAGAAGATCATCTCTAAGTTAGAAGTCTTAATTTAGTTCTCCTAGAAGCAGACCCTGAGACAAGTGCAAGTGGTTTATTTGGGAGGTGGCAGAGTTGGGAAGTGAGTAGAAAGCCAATTAAATGCACATTATCAAGGCAGTTATGACAGTGGGGGAGCCCTGGGAGCAATGGTGGGAGAATTTATACCGTGGAAATTGGCAAATATTACCAATCAGGGCTGCTTTTTTTTTTTTTTTTTTTTTTTTTAGCCTGGAGAACCTGGTTAAACATTCACCAGCACACTGCTGTCTGAGAGCAAGTATAGAAGATGGTCTTGGAGTTAGCCCACCAGATGGGTGAGGGAGCAGAAGTATTTACATATCAACTCTCCTCAGTCACTGATGGAGGGCTACTCTGGGGAAGGTGTTAATTCCTGGGACTCTCAGCCTGCAGGGAAGGGGTAGCCTATATCCAGTAGCCAAAGAAATGCAGGTTCTGGCAGTTGAAAATTGGGCCAGCATATACTAAGGCAGTGACAGTGAGGAGGTATTGACAGGACACCATAGTGCCTGCCACAATGTAACAGGACTTACCAGCTGGCCAACCTCTGGAGGACAGAGGTCAAAGAGACACCACTCACCTTTGTTTGAACTCTGGGTACTGCAGCCTGTTTGGGAAGCCCTTCCTGCAAATACGGATGCCTTCCAGGACACCGTTGCAAGCCAGTTGGTGCATAATCAGGTGAGCATCCACCACACCTGCCAAAGGGGAGGGCACAGGGTAGAGAGTCATTGCCCTGGGGTGGTACAGGCCAGTCTTGGCCAGTGAAGAAGGCTGAACTGAGCATCTCTGTCATTGACCCACATCTTCTGTCACTGACTGGGGGCCTCAGGGCCACTATTTGGCCAATGCCCAAAGGCTCTTCTGAGTGTATTTTCTGGCTGGGTGGGTACCGTCTGCTTTATAACACAGCTAGACCATGACTTTTGGGTGACCCATTGTCAGGGATTCAGTGCCTTGTTTAGCCCCCACCATCCCTGAAAATGCAAGGTGGACTTAATTTGGAACAAACACTAACTTGAAAGTCTCTCAGGACTTCCAACAGGGAGACATGACCCCACAATGTACCTGATTGCTTAAACTCATTGGGAACAATGCAGCGGACAAAATGGGGGGCTGTGCTGTGGAGGGTGGCCATCAGCTTGTTCAGCTGCTCCTAGGGACAAACGACAAAAGAGAGAGTGAGTGAAACTTAGCATTGATGTTGCAGGACACCCACACCCAGGAGGTTTTTATTTAGCGTTTAATCAACTAAAACTAAATTAAAATTCAGTGTGCTCAGTTACACCAGCCACTTTTCAGCACTAGCCACATGTGCTTCATGGCTACCATATTGATACTGGACAGCCCAGAAGAGCACATTTCATCATTGCAGATTGTTCAGTCTTTGTTCGTGCAACATCTCCCTGTTCACTGCCCTTTGCAAGGTGTTTCCAGTAATGCCCAAACTTTGTGGAAGTTGTAGCCAGCCCAGAAGACCTGTCACTCTAGGACACACAATATTGGGCACTGATACCACAGTTGGTCATGTTGCACAAGTCCCTTCACTCTCTGGATTTCCATCTACAATGATGGACCTTCTTGATGGTTTTTTCTGCCCAATGATCCTGTGATTCTGTGGCCTCTTCAGAAACAGACTTCTTTAATTAAAGAGGCGATCACTGACAGAGTGATGAAATTATCCTGCCTTCGGCCATGACATGGCAGCCAGACCACCCACTATTGAAAAGGGGGGTTAGGGCACTGGACTCCAGGTGGCCTCTGGGCAGCCCCTACTCACCCTATAGAAGTTGGAAACTGTTATGAAGGAGGACCCTCTCTTTTGCTTCTTGGTTCCAGCTGAGGGACGGACAAGTACATTTCATGTCAGTACTCAGCCTGGGGACAAACAGCCCCATAAAGTGCTCTGTGCCAAAACACACGCATTCTCTGGGTTTAAAAAGGCTTATTCTGGGACTGAGGTGGGACCCTCACACCAGGAAAATGAGATCTACCAGGGAGTGGGCAAATGGATGGACTGTGGTGTAATTGTGCTCCCTGGGGACTATACAGTCCTTTGTGATTTAGGTTCTGGTGGGGTGACCAACTGCTCCCATTGCCTGGGGAGGAAGAAGAGCCCCTAGACCATCAGAGAATGTACTTATCGGTGGTAAAATGTTGCTGAGCCCAAGGAGGTTTGCTGTTCCTGCCCCACCGAGCACAGCCTGATTGGGCAGCTTCCACCAGGGCAGTCCCTTATGAACCATGTGCCCTCTATCAGATGACAGACAGGGCCAGGCTAGGCATTTGCCTCAGACGGGAGAGAGGGAAGCAGAGAATAAGCAGAGGGCATTTGGGTGCCAACTTTTAGGAAGTAGCATCCCTCCACCTAGAGGAGATACAGGCCCAGTGAGCTGTTCAGCTGATAGAGGCTCCCAGGTTGTGTCTTCACTCCTCTCTTACACGGCCCACCTCAAGCACTGGCCATTCATGCATTCACTCACTCATTCCACAAGAGTTGAATAAGAGAATTTTCTTTCCTTTTTTCCATTTTGGCCACTAAAGGGCATCAGCACAGGGAGATGGGATATAACAAGGGTTCGGCCATACCTGGAGCCTCCTCTTCTTTGAAGAGAAGGGCCAGGAGTCCCAGGGACGATTTCTGGAACAAGCCCACCACTGTTTCATTCAGGGGGTCTTTGTTCTTCTCCAGCCAGCCTGTGATGTTGTAGCTCACCTGGAGGGGGCAGATGCCAGTAATTTTGAGGCTCAGCCTCCCCCTTTCAGGTCTCACAGGTAGAACCTCCACCAACAACTCCACCTGCTCTGGGCTCCCAGGACCAACTTTCAGCCCCTGGAGCTTCAGTTCTTGTCCTGATGACTTGCCTAGTATCCTGGGGTTAAAGGTCCCATCGTATGCTTTCTTGGGCATTTGCAGTTTGCCTGTCTAAAACAACCCATCTCTGAGCTTTGCCCATAAACCACCCCTCCTGGGGTGTGACCTTTTGTGGACTTGCTCTGCTGACCACACTGAGCCTTCCTGACCCTTGGGTCTTCAACTGCCCAGGCGGGCTTGCTGTCAGCAACTGGCCACAGCTGTGGAATCCTGAGATGCATGAAGAAATCTACAAGGGCTTCTGATCTCTCCTTGTTGGAGAGCATGCATCCCCTCTTATGACACTGTAGGGTCTTTGGCTGGTGGAAGGCGGACTACATCCAGAACTGGGAGCTCCAGATATCCAGGTAATTGGACATCTGCTAATTTCCACTTCTCATTTTGCCATGTAGCCCCAACAGGATGGCTAAGTGGGAGGAGCCTTCAGATCCTTCCATGGAACACAGAGAACCAAGGAAAGTAGATGAGGAGCCACAATCTCTGAGCTTTCCATCTCCTGTGCAACATACAGCAGGTGTCATCTTGGGCCTTATTTTAGGGCCTTCTTGGAAGTTCACAGGTTCCATTTGACTTTGAATAGTCTATTGCTATAAATACAGAGCTCTTCTCAGTCCAGTGTAGGAAGAGGGGATAGAGAGCTGCAATTTGGTCCCAGGTCTGCTGTTTGCTCAAAGTATTGGCCCAGTGCATTTTGTGAGCAGTTGGCGTTGTTATGGTTAATGACTATTAACTCTTGGCACTGATGCCCATTGTAGTTGTGGCTTTCCTGACAACCTAATCCTAAGACTGCTGTTTCCCTGCAGTTAAACCCCCAAAGGATCAACAAACTCTGTTGGTACTAGGCACGTTGGCACTCAGAGAAATATTGAGATCCCAAGGAAACCAAGCACATTCTCATACACTGGCAGAATGAATGTTTTCTCCTCTATTAATTATACAAATAGAACCTGAGTCCTGGCTGCACTTAATTTCCCTCTTCCTCAAGGACTAAATTTGTCATGAGTGAAAATGCTACTTCATAGATGTCACCTTGTTCATTTGGTGGCCACGAGCTGTCAGAAAGACAAGTTATTCAGTTGGAAGTAATTAATGGGCTCATGAAAAAATTTTTTCCTTGTTACAAGTGTTGTCATTGCTGGCCAAGATTGAAGTTCAGCCATTAAACCAAGGGCTGTAGACAATAGTGTGGCCCGGGCAGGTCTGATGGCACCAACTGCAGGCTGCTCCCTAAGGGGCATCCTTCACTGGATTGCTTTGGAATTCTCAGATGGAGAAGTGATGAGGAGGTATGAGCTAGAGCTCATTTCAATTGGCTGATCACCCTGTTATATCTTGGCTGTGGTGGTTGGAAGCAGGTCACCTCTGGAGGGGTGTGTCATTGTGGACCAAGGGGCTCTGAGGCCGGTACTTACAGTGCCTGCATAGTGGATAAGCTCGAAGTGGGCCTCGGGGCCCTTGCCCTTGCCCCCCTTGGGCTTAAGAAAGTTGCTTGACTTGGCCAAGTGGTTGTCATACAGGGCTGCCTTGAATGTGGCATCTGTAGCTTTGGGGAAGACACACTGTTCCTCCAGGACGGAGAAGATGCCCATGGGCTAGGAGGAAAGAGGAGAAGATAGTGTTAGGAGAGGTAGCAGGACCCAAAAGAGATCACACTAGCACTGAGTCCAGGGCCAGTATAAATATGTATCCACATGGCCAGCCAGAAAGCAGAACTCAGACTTTTGGGAGTAGCACCTAGTGCCCCACGGCCTTGTCTTCAAACACCACAGGCAATTAGACTTGAAAGAAGCTATAATTCAGCCGAGTCCAACAGAAGAGAAGGCTAAGGCCTGAAGGAGCAAGATAGCTCCCCAAATGCTAATCCCACCTAGACAGTGGCCCTGGGCAAGCTTGGTCTTCTGAAACAATGGGAAGTCAATGCCACCTGTGCTTGCTGTTTGTAATTCTCTTTGATCTGCTCCTCCCTGCTGACCTTCCAGACTACCCTGAAGCCTTATGCTGTTCTAGGTCTATTCTCACACACAAAAATGGGGAGTTCCCAAATGCTGTTAGTGACAATATGCCCTCTGTCCATGGAGGGCCTGGGTTTTAAAAGAGGACTTCTGGAAGAGGGCGATGTTTAACCCCAAAGCTCAAGAATGAGGAGATTTGGGGCTCTATGACAGCTGGCAGGAAGGTATTTAAGGTACATGGCAATGCAGGACTGTGCACACAGCCTGCTTTTGGAGACGGTACTTTCCTGGGAGGCTGGGCCCACAATGGAGACCCTTGGCTGCTTTGATGACCGATTCTCTAGGACTAGCCCGAGGATGAGCCTCAGAAGCAAGATATATTCTTTTTTTGTTTTATTTTTTAAGTTTTCACATTGAAATAATTTCAGGCTTGCAAAAATAGTGCAAAACCTTCCCATATACCCTTCACCCAGCTTCTCCAAAAATTACTAAAACCACTGTATGTACAATAATGAAACCCAGGAAACTACCATCCAGACAATGAACAGAGTTTGTTTCAATTTTGTCATCTGCCCTGTTAATGTCCTTTTTCTGTCTTTTTTCTGCATTGAATCAAACAACATATACTCTTGAATTAGATCATTTGCTAAAACATTCCATGTGGTATGATTACAGGTGAAATTATTATGTGGCCCAGGTTAGAACCTGACTGTGCCACTCATAGGTTGTGGGACTTTGGACAAGTGATTTCCCTTCTCTGTACCTCAATGTTCCCATTCATGAAATGGGTATGGTAAAAGCACCCCTTTATAGGGTAGGCTGTGATGGTCCAGTGAGTTGTAGCACACAACAGCCCAACTAATAGGAGTCATTGCGGTCGATGTGGTGTGCGTTTTGCAGAGGGGGAGCTAGAAATCAGACCAATGAAGGTCATCGGGGGTGTTGCCAACTGACCAGAAGCCAAGAGCCACCTCCCTGCATGCCCCAGAGACATGCCTTCCTGAGGCATGTACCAGTCAGAGCCCGAGCCCCTCCTTCAAGAAGCAGGTCACCTTTTCCAGGAGGTCAATGCAGGCCTGCAGGTCAAGGCCAAAGTCGATGAAGACCCACTCGATGCCCTCCCTCTTGTACTCTTCCTGCTCCAGCACAAACATGTGGTGGTTGAAGAACTGCTGCAGCTTCTCATTGGTGAAGTTGATGCACAGTTGCTCAAAGCTGTTGAACTGCGGTGGGGGGAACACAGAAAGAAGGGCGTCAGCCCAGGTGCAGAGAAAGCCCCTCCCAGGACGGGGTGAGGAAGCCACACACTTAGTGGAAACTTGTCAAGGGCCCGCCAGAATCAGGCACTGCCCTGACTGCCATAGCACTGACCATGCAGGGGACCTGGGAGAAGCAGCTCTCCGTTACCCTCCCCTGCAGAGGCATAGAATAGTTTAACACGAGCCCCATGCAGCACAATTTAGGGACCTGAAACCCAGGCAGCCAAACTCTAGCCTCTTGTGGTGAACAGAGATAATTGTGGAAAGAACCATTTTCTTTTAAGTGTGGAAATTGCTTGAAATGCTGTATGGATCTGAGCCATCGTGTGCCGGTGGGCAGTTCTTTTCTCTCTCTCTCTACTTTTTCTCATCCTCATCTATAAGTTTGTCAATTTCCATGGTGTAAATATTTACACCATGGCTAATTTTAAGCTATGAACATGTAAACTGGCTCACAAAATTCCCAAAGTTCCTGAAAATTTAATAATCAGCTGTTGTGAGCCAGTACAGGATGGCTTCGGCACACCACTCATTCCATCCATTAAGTTCACACCATTCTTTATGATTTGGCACCATAGAAATGAAAACAGAATTTTCTCCAAGAATCAGAGATCTAGTGGCAAATCGATTGGTCTGCCCCGGGTCCAAGGTGAGAAACAAGAGAACCGTAGTGCAAAGTCACTTATAAAAGGAGGACAGCCCCACCAAGGCAAAAACCAAACACGAGGCCAGGCACACCTCAAAGATCTCGAAGCCAGCAATGTCCAGCACCCCGATGAAGAACTGCCTCTGCATCTTGGTGTCCAAAGTCTTGTTAATCCTGACTACCAGCCACTTGAACATCTTGTTGTAGATCGCCTTGCCCAGGGCCCCGATGGAGTTGTGGCACTGATCCATGTTCTGGCCTTTTTGCACAAACTCATTGCCCGCCTTGACCAGGGGCCTGGTGATGCCCTTCTGGAGTTCACCGGAATTGAGACCCATGAGATGGGCGACTTTGTCAGCCACTGAGCAGGGAGGGAAAATACAGGTGAGGACCAGGAAGATGGTGCCATTCCCAGGAGAAACCTCACACTGCCTACTGTGGTCTGGGGAGGAGGTGACAGGGAGCAGGAGGAGACCCACGAGAAAACAAAGATCTGAGGTGGATCCACACTTGCTCAAAGTCAAGTGGCAAAGTAGGGTCCAGTCTTGACTCTCTGTCATGCCTCTCTAAGAAGATTGATGTCTGAATGTTCAAGGAACATGCACAGTTTACAGCCACCACGGCACCTGAGAATACCTGGCATGTTTCTGAAATGGCCACAAAGCCCTGAGGGGGGGGCAGAAAACTCCCACCACTTGCTGCCTTGTGCCTGAACAGCCCCAGCCCAACACCCACCCTCAGTGGTGTCCACTTCAGCTTGCTCCTCTCTGGGCTTCTGCTTGAACTTCATGTTCCCAAAGTGCATGATGCCCCCCGTCAGCTTATAGACACCTATCTTCTCCTCAGCACTGAAGCCCAGCACGTCGAAGGCGTCCTGCAAAGCAACAGGGAGGAGAAGCCACGTGACTCCTGGCTTCTCATCCCACGTGGCAGAGGCCATGGGACTGCCGCTGTGGGGCCACACCAAAGGGCCACTGTGGCAGGTGTGGGCACCAGAGTCAGACACACCCTGGACATGGAGGGGCCATATCAGATTCTCTGCTATCTGGCTATTTTATTTATTTAATCCCTCCAGCCTCTGTTTAGCTATCTATAAGATGGGGATACTAAGTGATTGTCAGGACAGATCAGAATGATGTGTAAAATATTTAGTGTTTGACACACCATAAGTGCTCAGTAAAGGGGGTTATTATTATTACTACCATTGTTATTATTATTAAGGCTTCATGCTAGGTACTGGGAGAGGGGAAGGCAAAAGTAAATCAGGACTCGATTCTGTCATCAGAGAAGAGAGGGCCTAGTACACAAAAAATCTTAATGGAAGTCCCACGTGCTCAGTGTCATAAGAGGGAAGGAGACAGAGAGTGCAGTGGGGAGTGGTAAGGTGGCAGAGTTGCTTCTAGTGGTAAGGTGGCCGGGTTGCAGAGGAGGAACGTTGTATGGAGTTGATGGCCCCTTCCGTCCCTGTGGAATTCTAATTCGATGCTGCAAAGAGAAACTCTGCTTGCTGCAATAGGCTTGGGATAAGCACCAACTGCAACCCCAGAAACCCCCAGGGAAGAATCCAGGCTGTTGTCTGACAGCTCTGGGTGGGACCCCACCCCCACTCTGGTTCCAATGGCCATGCAGGCAGGGCCCCAAAGTTTCCATCCTAGGTCTCCCCATGTCCCGCATCAGCCATGCCCACCCACTCATGTCTGTGATCTGCAGCTCCTCCCCATCATCCATGTTGTCCACCACAGTGACGCCTTGGCTCACCCAGTGGTATTGCTTAGCATTGGGGACCAGCAGCAAGCTCTCTGCCAAGGGCAGCAAAGCAGGTTAACAGCTCGGTGATACATGGTTTTATTCTCTTTCATTCCTAACTAATTTCTCTAAATGCCTCTCACATACTAGGCACGACGGCGGGCATTGTGAGAGTTACAGGGCCGAATGAAATATGGTCCCTGCCACCTGGTACCACCAGAATCACAGAGGGACTTGAACAGCCTCATGCAAGGAGCTTTAGAACAGCAAGAGGGTCACAGGAACTTGGCTGCATCCTCTGTCACTTGCCTCAGTACTTGGCATCTAGTAAGTACCCAGTAGATATTTGGATAATAAATGAATTCTTATGTCTCTCCCTCCTCTGTCCTATGAAGAGCAGAGTCTTCTACCAATGTAGAAGGCAATATAATGGCTGCCGCAAGCAATACAATTGTCTGCATGTGACACACATGGGAATATTGTTACTTTTTTTTTTTTTTTTTTGAGACAGAGTCTTGCTTTGTTGCCCAGGCTAGAGTGAGTGCCGTGGCATCAGACTAGCTCACAGCAACCTCAAACTCCTGGGCTCAAGCAATCCTACGTAGCTGGGACTACAGGCACGTGCCATCATGCCCAGCTAATTTTTTCTATATATAAATATATATTAGTTGGCCAATTAATTTCTTTCTATTTATAGTAGAGACAGGGTCTCGCTCTTGCTCAGGCTGGTTTCGAACTCCTGACCTCAAGCAATCCACCTGCCTCGGCCTCCCAGAGTGTTAGGATTACAGGCGTGAGCCACCGCGCCCGGCCCTATTGTTACTTTTATAAAGAAATACACTCATTTCTGTTTTTCTTCAGATGTGTGCTCCTCTTGGTCTGTCTTTGTATATTTACTTTTGGAAGGAGACATGGGTATAAGAAATGTTTCCTTTTCATTTTATCTCTCCTAAAGGGAAAAACTAAAACACAAGAAGGAAGATAAATTTGCCACTCTGCTCCAGCATGAGGGAGACAATAGGGCTTGGTGGGGAGTTTGGTTAACAAGAGAGCTTGAGCACCAGACAGGGGAGCCAACACCACTCAACTTCCCTGATTAGTACCAGGTGGGAGGGCAAACTCAGAGATATTGGATCTTCTGCTAATCTAAGAGAACCTAGGAAATTAGATTTTTATGTGAAGGCTTCTAATTTCAAAATGCCATTCATTAATATAAAAATATACTTAGTTCAACACAAATAAAGCTCTCTGTGGGTGGGGGATGGTGCCCAATGCCCTCATCTCTGGCTGGGTTAGGAGGTGTGCCTGTGGAAGATTGAGTCCTCATCCCCCTTCCCACCTTATGTCCTGAGCAGATCTGCCATGGACAGTTGGCCATGTTGGTGCCCGCACAAGGGCATCAAGTTGAGTGGGTGAGAGCACTCTGCTCTCCGAGCTGTGCACCCAGTGTGGACTGTGTCCGCCCAGGGGGAGCCTGTTGTTACTGAGCATGCAAGCACTGGCAGGGCTAATCATGGTCCTGGCTGGACACCTCTGCCACTACCTACGCGTCAGACTCAGAGAGAGCAGGTCCCAGTCTCAGGGGGATCTAAAGCCTCCTGTCCCAGGTCCATGTCTCAGCCATGAGTTGCAGGCAGCCAAAAACCTTATCGGTGAAATGGGCCAACAACAGTGTTGAGCCTCATATGGCTACTGTGAGGACAAGATGTGCAAGTATAACTTTCAGAAAGTTCCCTGTGACGCATTCACAGAACTTTAAACTGAAGGGATTGTCATAGGACCACAGAGGTGACACATGATCCTTTGCATGCGGGAATTCTTTTCATGATTGAAAAGAGGAAAAGTGAGTTCGGGGCAGGCAGACGAATGTAAAGATTTTTACCAACAAGTTCAGGCTTCTTGTTTGAGAGAATCTGGTAGAAAATGTGGTAGCCTCTCTCAGCTGCTTGCTGTGAGATGACACGAGATTTCTCTAAGAGATCTGAATGAGAAGAAGCAAAGACACTAGTGAGAACAGAGCCGTCTCCCTGGAGTTCAGGGTTCCATGGAAAGCAGGAACCCCTCTCTAAAGCCCAGTGCAGTGGCCAGGTTGCCAGCGGTGGGCTCCACTCTCCCCTCTCCCGAGGCACAGCCTTGAGGGCCCGACTGCCCTTGGGGAGGCCTTCGAGGAGGGCTGTCTCCTGGGCACTAATAGGCCGCACTCAGAAGGGCTTCACACTTGTTTTAATGCTCCTCTGTTGCTGTTTTGAAACTCTTAATGCATTTTGAACAAGAGCCCTTCATTTTCATTTTGCACTGGGCCTCACAAGTTATGTGGCTGGTCCTGCCTGGACGAGCCCGCCACAAGGGCCTGACTTACAGCTCTCGATGTCAGCTCCAGCCAGTTTGCCTGTAGTTCCGAAATGGATCCGGATGAACTTGCCCTGAATAGGGAGGAGAGGGTAGTGGTCAGGAGGGAGGTTGTCCAGAGCTTTAGAGCAATACGCGGCCTGGATTTAGCCAAGAGTCACTGTTCGGGATATAACCAGGGCACATGGGGTTGTATGCAGAGCCTTGAAGTTCCCATGAGGAAGGACTCAGAGGCTGAATCTAGGGTCTGTGGTTTGGGGCATTTGTGGGGGAAGGGAGTGCTCAGCAGAAGGGGCCGAGATCCTTTGGGATTCTGCTCAGAGGCCAGGCATCATGGGAATTTGGCCAGCTAGGTGGTGGGAACTGTGCCGAATCTCCTTATCAAGAGACAGCCCCTTCTTCTTCCTGACTTGTGGTAGAGTCACCAATGAATTCTCCTGGAGACAGGAATCTGTTTCGGTCTTGGCTGCTCCTCGGCCTATCTGCCTTCACCTCTGTCCCTCACCCGCTGGCCTCAGCCCTGTTTCCCTGGGGGTTCCTGCCAGCTCCCTGGGCTCTGCCATGGGAGGCCCCAGAGCAGGCTAGCGAGGCTGGACGGAAGGCCAGGTGTGGCTCCTCCTTGGGCGGCACCTCAGATGGTGCTGAGTTTCCCTGGTGTTTCCAGCTCCCGCCGGAAGGCCAGCCACGCTGGTTTCAGAATCCACCGGGGCCCAGGAACAGCACCTCTCCTACGTCCTTCCAGGGGGTCGCAGCTTCCCACAGCTGAGAATCTCTGCATCAAAGCCCCTTGATTGAAATACTGAAGTAGGTTCTGTTCACTGATTAGGTCCTAATTAGCACAACTTAAAAATCTCTGGGAAGGAGATGCCTGGGATTTCCTCTTTCCCTTCAAGTTCACTTAAATCAACCCCCATTTCTTCACCTAGAACAGGGTCATGGCTCCTGTCCTATCACCCCTGGGTTCACACTTATGAAGCGAGAGGAATTGTTGTTCCTGGTGGTCTTGGCGTTCCCGAAGGCCTCCAGCACAGGGTTGGCCTGGATGATTTGATCCTCCAGGGACCCCTGGCCCTGAGAGAAACCCAAGGTGGGGTGACCAGGGCTGAGGGACTGGGCTTGCTAATGACAGTGCCTTATGTGCCAGGGACCCAGGAGGGGAGCGGCCTTGGGGCTGCTGGGAAGTCAGGGCCAGAGGGGCAACATGTAGTGACCTGGGGCAGAGGGCCACTGCCTGACAATGTCTGTCCTTCTACAGCTCCATAATGTCAGGTGGGTGGGGGATTCCTTGATTCCCAGCTATTTCCTCACTTTGCTGTTCGTGGGGAGACCCCTGAGTGAACCTGAAAGTGCCGCCTCCCTCCTTGTGCATCCTTGGTCTCCCTCGGGAGCTCTCCTATGCTCTGTCGGCTTTTTATAGCTGCTGCTAGTCCAGTCTGTGCTCCTTGTGCCCCTGGGACAGCCACAGCCTACAGAAGCAGCTTAAGGCAGAGCCCCCTTCCCTGTCTCTCCTGTGCCAGTGTCCTCCTGGGGGCAGATGTGGCCTGGGGCAGCAGAACCAGTGCTGCGGGAGGAGACCCTGCTCTATGGTCACCTTCTCCCTGTGTGACCCCAGCCAAGTCGCTTTTCTCCAGGCCTCAATGTCATCATCTGTAAGATGACCCTGACCCCTAGAGCCACTGTGAAGGTCTCACAGGCTCTGCTGTGTGTTGCAGAACCTGGAAGATGGGAAATGGACCCTGAGTCCACCCTGTCAGCTGTACCTTCTTATCGGAGGGCTTGCCAGTCCCTCCAATGTTGGCGAAGTACTGGATCACCTTCTTCGTGTTCTCAGTCTTGCCAGCTCCGGATTCTCCACTGTGGGTAGAAAACGGGAGTGGAAAGAAATGCCAGAAGAGGGTGCATTGGCCAAGAAAAGGAAGCAACAGGAAGTATACATTTCTAGTCACATTGTGCCCCTGGCCTAGACAGATAGGCAGGTGGGGAGGCCCTAGGGGTGCAGAGTCCCCCTCGGGTTAGCAGGTGCAGCCTTACTCGCCCTGTTGAGCCCACTCACTGCCTGCAAAGTTCCCTACAATATCCCCCAATTAATTCTAAGAAGGCTTAATTACATGTATAAGACAGAGACCTAATTATATGTGTATAGACTGAGAGACAGAAGAGACACTTACGTGATTAGCATAGACTGATTTTCACGCTCTGTAGGGAAGAAAACAGCAACAGGAAGATGTAATTAGGAAACATTTAGAAAGTAGGCATTTGATGATACCCCAGCCAAACATTCAGCCCTTCCCCAAGTCCCAACCAGCTCAGATCGTGGCCTTGGCTGCACTTGGAGGCCAAAAACCCAGTTTTGTGTGGCCACATGCCCACCACAGCAGTCTATAGAAAGGGCCAAGAATTTATCAGCCAGTTTCTACCAGCCAGTTCTCTTGGATCATAAAGCTACCCAGTCATAAGCAACATAAAGAGAAATGGTCACAAAAATCACATAAAGGAGTCACTATACCATTCGGCAAAAATCGTCCAGGTAATGGTTAAGGGTGTTGACTTGAGTTCTGGGCAAGTTACATACCTTGGCATCCCATGGGTTTGTGAAGCTTAAATGAGATAGGGTGTGCGGTAGGGCTGGTGCCTGAAGGGTGCTGTGTGCATTCACTGAGCACTAGCACGTGGTGGTGTTAATATCACATGCAGCTGCTACTGTAGCTGCTCAATATCTAGCAAAGAACTTCAATGGGTGGTGCCGGGTCAGGACTGGGATGAGGCAGCAGCGGTTCCAATGCTCATGGAGCCACAATGGCAAAGGAAAGCTTGTCTCCCGCTACCCCAGCCCCAGCAGCCCTTGCCCCCACGCACCCATGAGCATGTCATGGTAGGCGTTGTCAGAGATGGAGAAGAGGTGGGGCGGCATCTCTGTGCGCTTCTTGCCCTTGTACATGTTGGCCATGCGGGCCCCGTAGATGGGCAGCCACCTGTAGGGGTTGACTGTCACGCAGAACAGGCTCGAGTAGGTCTAGCAGGAGGAAAGGAAGATGGTTAGCTGGCCGACCTCCTGGGGCCCTCTTCCCTCGGCTGAGTCCCTCTTCCCTCGGCTGAGTCCCTCCAGGCCCCAGCCTATCGCAGAGCAGGCTGTGAACAAAATGAGTCTTCTGGGGGCAAAACCTATGCCTGCCTGAGTCTCTATTCATTGAGCAAGATGAGCTTTCTCTTTAATATGTATTTTTTTCTTTTATTTGATGACAGATGCTCCTTGATTTATGTTAGAGTTACATCCAGATGAGCACATGGTAAGTGAGAAATGTTGTACTGTAAGTTGACTTATGATATTTTCAACATATGATGAGTTTATTTAGATGTAGCCCCATCGTAAATCGAGGAGTGTACCGAATGGGTATTGCTTTTGTGCCATTGTAAAGTCAGAAAATCATTAAGTTAAACCATCATATGCCGGAGGCCATCTGTATTTGAACAGGTAACACAGTCACTATGTGGACACATACACAGCAAAAGGACCTAGTTTCTTATACCCTCTTCTGTGGTTTTTGATGCATGTAAAACAAATCCACAGACACATTCTTAGCCCCTTCCCCTTGTTTATAGAACAAAAGATGGTATTCTACAGTACTGTTTTATGTCTTGCCTTTTTCACTTAATATATCTGAGAAATTGTCCATGAGGGTCCAGTGTGACACTTCTGGGGTGATTTTGGAGCTGCAGAGTCCTCGCTATGTGGACATAGTTCCCTACTGATGGGAAGCTGGGTTTGACCTAGTCTTAAAAAGAGACCCCAACTTCTCTTTTCACTCCAAGATCGCAATTTGGTAAGAAATCACTCCATTCAAAAAAAAAAAGACAGAGAAACCAACAAAGTAGTAAAAGAAATTATCTGAGGGGAGGGAGAATAAGTGCAGACAAGAAATGGCCAAATCAACGTGTCCCAAACTTTCCCTTCTTTTTTTTTTTTGAAACAGAGTCTCGCTTTGTTGCCTAGGCTAGAGTGAGTGCCATGGCGTCAGCCTAGCTCACAGCAACTTCACACTCCTGGCTCAAGCAATCCTCCTGCCTCAGCCTCCCAAGTAGCTGGGACTATAGGCATTCACCACCATGCCCGGCTAATTTTTTGTATATATATTAGTTGGCCAATTAATTTCTTTCTATTTTATAGTAGAGACAGGGTCTCGCTCTTGCTCAGGCTGGTTTCGAACTCCTGACCTCGAGCAATCTGCCCGCCTCGGCCTCTCAGAGAGCTAGGATTACAGGCGTGAGCCACTGTGCCCGGCCTCAAACTTTCCCTTCTTGTTGCTGCACGGTCGCACTGACTGCTGATGCTTCTGCCATGTGCCTCTTCTCAATTCAACTTTAAACCCTTCCATTTTGGTCCAAGTGCCTCACCCAGCTTCTCCATAGCATAACTGAGTTTTTAAGAAGAAACTTATTAAATAGAACATAATCTGAAGAAAAAGTAGCAAAGAGAAGATGAACAAGACCCCATGGGAGAGCTGAGAGTATGACAAGCAGCGTCCCATCCTGGGACTGCAGCCACTGGGTCACAATTCCCCTCCAGCCCGTCTCAGCTCTGGTGTGGGGACAGATGGTGGCGCGGAAGCCAGCTCCATCTGCGTTTTGGTCAGGAGAGGTATGAGAGGGAAGCATTTGGGGCTGTGAGAGCAGCCCTTGCCTGCCAGAGTTGTTCAACTAGTGATTCCATCGAGGTGCTTTGATGTCAGAAGTTTCTCCCTGCCCTGGTCCCTCAGGTCACACTCCGCGGAGCCTGCAGTCCCTTAGCCGGAAGACACAGTGGCCATCCTCAAGAAGCAAGGGCTTGGCTGCAGAGCAGGCCCGAGTAAGCCCAGCCCTGAGCTTGGCCATGGAGCCCACTGACACCAATATTATCAGTCCAGGCTCCAGACCCGGCCAAGGGTGCAAGTAGCTCTTCCTAGACCAGTGGTCAGAGAATGCCCTGCTAGCCTCCAGGCCTGGCAGGTATCCACAAAAGCGTTCCAGAGACCTTCCAGCACCTCCTGGGCTATGGTGCTGCAGGGGCCTGAATCCAGGACCAACGAGGCAGTAAAGGAGGATGAGGGGAGTGGGGTGCAGCAGCCACAAACCCAGGCAGGGAAATCCTTCATGGCCTCGACCTTGAAATCAGGTGCACCTCACCTATTCCTATCAGACAAGCACCTTTCCTCTTTAGTAAAGACATCTGGAGAAACAAACACCAAAACTTACAACCCACTTGGGAATGTAGTCACCAGCACCTTGAGGAAATCATCCTCTGTCTTAGGATTTCCAAGACACTTAGAAGACTGATTGTAAACCACTTTGGTCATCACCTCAGACAAACAGAAACCAAACTCTTTCAAGGATGCAGCCTGTTGTTCTTCCTAAGTCCCTCAGGCTACATTTAAATCACATTTCCTCATGTTTTTGTCTGGCTAGATGGTTGGATGTCTGGATGGGTGGATGGGTGGGTGGATGTTTGGATGGATGTATGGGTGGATGTTTGGATGGATGAATGGGTGGATGTTTGGATGGATGGATGGATGGATGGATGAATGGATGTTTGAGGGGATGGATGTTTGGATAGATGGATGAATGGATATTTGGATGGATGGATATGTGGATGGATGGATGGATGGATGGATGGATGGATGGATGAGTGGATTGATGTATGTTTGGAAATCGCCATGGAGAAAATGATGTTTTGATTGGAGCATTTGAGGAAGTGGGGAGGAGCATGAGGAGGAAGATTTCTGAGTGACAGTCTCAGTACAAAGTATTTCAGCTGCCCATGGAGATGTTGCCATTACTGAGATGCTGAAGGCTTGGGTGGAAGTTCTATCATGTCTGTGCCCTTGTCTGAGTGATAATATGCATTAGGAATAGGGAGGGTGGAGCAGGTATCCCTTTTTCAAAAGAGGGGCAGAATATCTGCAGGCCCCTGTCTTCCCCACCTCAGCCCCATCCTGGGCACTCACATAGATCCTCATGTTGATGTAGCGCTGGCGCAGGTTGTCCAGGATGCTGGCCTCATTCAGGAAGGTCATGTCTGCCATTTCACTGGCCTGGTAGAATTTGGGCAGGTTCATCTGCTGGATATCCTCCTTCTTCACGGTGACCGTCTGGGGGGTCAAGACAAAGTAGCAGCGTGAGGTTGAGTGAGGGGGCCTGTGGGTTCCCCGAGTGGCTGCCTCCTCTGCCCATGGATCCCTGGCTATTGTGGCTCCTGGGTATTAGGGCCTGGGTGGGCCACAAGCCCTGAGCACACCAACTGGACAGAGGCGTCCCCACCAATATGCTGTATGGCCTGGCCTGCCCAGTGAGCTGCAAGACTCAGTCACTGGCCATAAGTCTGGGCCATGTGGCCGACATCTGCAGATACTGCCCAGCGAGAGCACCAGAGGGGCTCCTGAGAGACCTGTTGCCAGGACCAGTGACCCTGGTGATGAAACCCTCAGAAGCCCTCAACAGCAACCTGAACCCCTCTTCTCTCTTTGTAGGCATCAGATTCCTGACCATACCTTTATACGAGACTTTGCCCCAGTGTTTGGGGGGATGTCTTGCTGTCACTAGCTCCAACCTCATCTCCCAGGCCAGTCCTCTGAATATTGAAGAGTTCTAAGACCTCTGGTCTCAGTTGTCCTTGGTCATTGATGGGGGACCATTTGGGGATGGCCAGAACCCTGAGTGTTGCCTCAGCTTAATTGTGGTTGCCTGGAAAACTTGGTATCATTCATCTACTCTGTGCTCTGGGAAGTGCTACAACCATCCTCTAACAGGAGTACAGGCTGCTCCCTCACATGGACCCCACCGTGAAACTCAAGAGGAGGGAAGGACCAGTGCTGGATGCTGCGTGTCCACCCACTGGTGGTTGGCAAGGCCTCATTTGCAGATGTATGTATATATGTATGTATGGATGGATTGATAGATAAGTGTTTGGAAGGATGGATGTTTGGAAATATGGATGAGTGGATGTTTGGATGGGTGGATGTTTGAGTGGATGGTTGGATAGATGAATGAATGGTGGCTGTTTGGATGGATGGATGGATGGATGGATGGATGTTTGGATGATTAGATATTTGGATGGATGGAGCTATTAATATATCACTAGCCTGACCCTTTAGGCAATGTGTCTTTCTGAACACTATAGACCAACCTCAGAAGCTGCTGGTGTAGCCTCACACTTGGGGAAAAGGTTATGTTTATTATTTATAATTTCATCCATTATCCAAAAGCTGAATGGAGACCTTAAGCACATTCCTAGGGTGGCCTTATTCTGATAAATGTCTTCTCTCTTTATCTCTCTTTTTAATTGAAAAGTAATTTAAATAACAGATTTAGAATCTAGCGAGAGCCTCCTCTCTGGTGGGTGGTGGCATTTAAGGTTGAAACCGGCAGAGGTGTTGATGTTGATTAAATGTCTCAGGTGACCAAAGGCATGGATTGGGCTCCTGGAAGCCAGAACTAGGTTAGGATGAAGATCGTAGAGCCACAGGCTAAACACTGTTTCCTCTGAACCAGCAGGGCTAATGGTGTGGCATGTGGTCATTGCCTGGCAAGGTCTAATAGTGGGAAGTCTGCCTGGTTGGCAGGGAGTAGAGGTGGTCTGGTATTCCTTTCAGCCAGTGACTTTTTTCTTATTTATTCATAAAATAAGTTATAGTTAATTATACCTATAATACCTTTATTTAAATCCAGTGTTACTCCATAGCCTTATGTCTTTGTTCATATGTATATCAAGTGTTAAACGTAATTATTGCTGGGCCTTTGAACTTTGCTTTTCTTTAATATAAAAAACTGCTGCTATTAAACATATTTGTAAATGGTTAAAAAAAAAAAAGACACAGCAGCACATGTTTATGAAATAGAGCTGTCATAGCCACATGGCTTCTGGCCCAGGGTGCCACACGCCCTCTGGTGTCCTGGAAGTAGCAGGAGTGGAGCATCCAATGGACTCAACTCCCAGTCCAGCCCCATGGCACCATGTGACTTGGGATAGGGAAGGACTTCTGAGATCATAACAGCCTTCATTGCGTCCCCTCTGAAGTGGGGGTAACAGTGGCCTCCTTGGCTGATTGCTGAGAGAATTACATGGACCTAAGTGGAATCATGCGAAAATACCTTGTAAACTACAACATCCCCTCCCTGTATTACAGAGTACCTCTGACCTGTGCTTTTCCTCCAGCCCAATCCATCCTGGTAGCTGATCAGAACTCGCTCTTTGATCTGGGGGACATTTTTCAGGGATGTGACTCATATCTCTCTGCCTTGAGTGCTAGTAGTGGTTCCAAAATAGTAATGAACTTTTCCATTTTTTTTAAAGACATTTCCTTGCTCCCACCAAACCACCTTGAGGGATAAAATTGAAAGCAAGCAAGCAAAGAAGATAAAAAGGAAGTAGCAGTGAGTGTTCAGCAGTAGATATGTGGGCTCCTGTGCAAGGTGGACAGATCCTCTCCCCATACTGCACCCCAATTTCTTCATCTATGAATGAAAACTACCTCCAGCTCCCAAGTCCTGGCATCTGGGATCAAAGCTTCAGACATGATTCAGAAAATAAATATGTCTTAGCTGCCTGCAGCTTTAGATGTGCAGCCTGAATATATACTGGGATTTCTGGGACTTGTAATAATGTATGAGTATAACAAGCAGATCATCTGAAATCTTGGCAGTTTTGGAAAATCCACCTAGTAGTGATCTCCGCACCCATAGTAAATCAGGCTGCGTTCTACTTGGAGTCCATTTTCCGTAGTTTTCAGATCTCTGGTCCTCGCCCCCATGCGGGCACTTCCCTTTCAGCCCCAGTAGAGGAACTGGGGTCTTTGACTTTCTCATAGGAGCCAGGTGAGTCAGCACCAGAGGCTCCATTTGTTCTGTCCCAAACCCACTCGCTGGCCCTGTCCACTGCGCATACTCAAGGAAGTTAAGTGTTGTCACATCATTTCTCACTGCAATCCTGTCCCCTCTGAAAAGTATGTTTCTCCTGAGAATTAAGCTTGACTTTCACATCTCCCTGTGGCTCCAGCCTCCCTGTCTTTTTACTGCCACGCCCGTCGAAGGCGGGCACAGAGAAAAACGGAGTGGTTGTTTATTCTGGTCATCAAAGATCTCTAGGTTTTTTTATTCATGAAAATTAACCAGGGACTGACCTCCCCCTCCCCTTTGGTAGCCCGCCGTGGAAAGGCGGTATGGCAATGTAGAAGGAGAACCAGCACTGGAGCCAGATGCCGCAGGTTTGGATCCAAGTTCCTCATTTGCTATCTTAGCGACCTTGCCCCAGTAACCTCAGGTACATTTGATCCTCAATTTCCCTTCTCTGCAAAATTGGGTCAATAAATTCTACTACATAAGGTTGTCAGAGGATTAAACAAATTGTCAAGTGCCTCACTAGGGGTCAGCCACAGGGTAGGGGTTTAAAAATTTTCTATCCACTCAAGTCATACCTCATGATCAGATGCAATGTGGACCAGAAGACAGAGGGGTGTGTTGGTCAACCAGCTGTCTAGGGGGGGAAAATCCCTGATCTGTAGCATTTGCCAATTTCCATGGTGTAAATACTCCCACCATGGCCACTAGCAAGCTATCACAGGTTTAACAACTGGCTGTAGAGTCCCTGAATGTTTAGTGTTGTGTCTTCATAAGCCAGGTTGGGTCCAGCACACTACCGCTATGCAACAAGGGCCTTGAGAAACACCACCTGTTACTCCCACAGTTGAGTTAGGGTGTTTGGGGTCCTGTTTCGAGTTCCTCATGCCACCTTAGGCCACAGCACACTGGGAGACTGCGGATGGGTGGGGTGCTCACTCTGACTCTTAGAAAATAGATCCTGCGTGAGATTCTTGTCATGTCAGGATCTCTATTGTGATGGAGCCTCAGAGAGGAAAATCATCTTGCCCAGGGTCACACAGCTTGAGTGTAGTTGAGTCTGGAGTTGATCCCCGCATGTGGGACTTAGAGACATCTACTCTTTTTGCTCCCCTGCCCCTTGGGCAGAAGCAGGTCCAGAGGAGGCCTGGGTGCCTGCTACTGCCAAGGTCAATTTACTCCTGGAGGTCATTTCCCACTCACCTGGTTGGTGATGGTCTTCACAGTGACTTGGTCACCCTGTTCAGACTGGATCTCCCCAGGGATGAAGCCCTCCTTCTCGTCTTTGACCCAGCAGGACCTCTTAATGTCGTAGGGTTTGTTCATGGCTTCAATCCTCTCCTTGTCGGGAGGTGCCAGGAAGGGCATGGGATCCACATTGTCCCCACATTCCCCTTTGTACCCACCAGGCATCGTGGCTTGGCTGAGGGAGGAGCAGGACGGAACCGAGGGCAGGAGCCTGGGCTTCCCTGGGTGCTGTGGGGGAGGCAGGCACAGGCTGGAGCAGACGCCCTGGGAGAGACAAGGGCTTGCTTCCTGATTGTCACTTTGGCTGTCTTGGTACCATTAGGTCTTCATAACCAAGACTAAGAAATCAGCAAATAACTCCCCACAGCGGGGTGCCCCACACAACAAAATGCTTCTGCATCTGCCATCTCATACGCTCCGGACTCCCAGGCTGCATGCTGGGGATCGGGAAGCCCATTTTATGGAGGAGACCAGAGCAAGGAGAGATGGAACCAAGAGTTTTTAATCAGGGCCCACAAAATGGGACAGGAAAACAATTTTCGCTTGGTTTTTACTTCCCTTCAGGTATGAACAGAGGCCACAGCCACCATAGGGCCAGCACAGCCTATCTTGCTCTCCACAGAAATCAGAGGGGTTCTTTCATTTTAGAGTGGGCACAAACATTGCAAGGTATTATTTATCCTCATCTCAACTTTGAAGTTAGGGTCTCTTTAGAGTCTCAGTGAGATGTTGTTATTTAAATTTATTAATAACGAAGGACATTTATTATTACCACATCACAAATTAATTTTTAATATTTTCATAACAGTATTTCAATATCATTTGTTTCCTTGGTAGCTCTATGTATTTTATTCTTTGTATTTAAAAACACTAATCTGGCTGGGCATGGTGGTGCATGCCTATAATCCCAGCAGTCTGGGAGGCCAAGGCAGGAGGATCGCTTCAGCTCAGGAGTTTGAGGTTGCTGTGAGCTAGGCTGACAATATTGTACTCTATCCAGGGCAACAGAGTAAGATTCTGTCTCAAAAAAAAAAAAAAATCCACTAATCTGAGCAGGGGTCCAGAGGCTTCACCAGCTACCAGGCAGGTTCCTGGTACAAAATGATTGCCTCAGTCAGTGACTATCTTTCCTGAAACAAGGACAAGCTAGGGTCAAACAGGGGCCTCTTGATTTCCAAACTCCATATGGATTCACTGAACCCCTAGAAGGGAGAGGAACCGGGGATTCAAGGGAACAAAGAGAGAAGCTTCCTCAATGTGTCTTGGGGGTGAAGAACCTTCTCGAAGTTTCAGGGAGAATGTGGTTCTGAGACCCTTTGTCAGTGCTGCTGTTCTCCAGGCCAAGAATACAGCCTGTGTCTTCACATAACCCTGCTGGAGAGCGGGGGTCTCCCGACCATGCCCAAGGCCCCTGCTGTGCTGTGCCACTGTGTTGCCTGCCAAGGCCCCTCCCTTTCTAAAAGAGGCTGAGTCAGTGCAGCCAGTGCCGGAGGCAAAGCCAGGTATGGGGCCTGTCTTAGCCAGTTCTGCTGGAGCCCAGGTTCTGTGTCCCCAAAGCTGAGCCATTGCACAGAAAACAAGAAATGAAGGAAGGAGAGTGGGGGTCTTGTGCCCTCGTGGGCTGCGGACCCCTTTGGTTGCCTGGTGATGCCTGGGGTCCCCTTGGACCAAATATGTCAAATTGAAGTAATAAAATACATAGGATTACCAGGGAAACAAGTGACATTAAAATATAATTAACCAAATATTAAAGATGCATGATACAGTATATATGTGTCTCTTTATAAACGCATGGAATAACTCGATCTAGCAGCAGGTCTAACAAGCACTGGTTTTGAAGCAGCAATGAGAATTAATGACATTTTGAGACATCTGTAACCATAATAATAATTTGATATGAAAATACCAGTGTCTTCTGGGCCCTACTAATAAGGCTGTAATTAATAAGAGACTGTGTTATAAAGGGGAGGAGACGACACATTTCAGTTGAAGCTATTGAAAATCACAATGGAATTGTTTTCTCATTGAAGATGCCAGGGCTCCCAGTTAAGAACTCCTGCCTAATCCTTCCCATGTCCTATCTTCAGGGAGCACTGGGCTGGGAGTCCTGGCTTCTGCCAATAGCATCAAGCAATTTTCTTTCAGTATCTAGGAGACCCAGCTCCTACTTAGCTCTGCCACGAGCCACCTTGGGCAGTGCCGTCACCTCCTTCAGCTTCCCTCCAACCCAGCATGCCTTCTGGAAGCTACAATTGCTCAATGTAAACTTCCTTTTGTCATTTGTTGCCCCTGCCGTGCTCAACTGCATTTTTGATTTTTTGGTTTCTTTGCTGTTCCATTTCCCTGGTTCTGCTTAACATACATAGAAGTCACCAGGGACAGGAGACCAAAATTCTCATGCAAAGGAAATTCAAGTATCAGCAAAGTCAGATTAAGATGCCTTTGACTTGCCTTGAAAAGAAAACATCTGCCCACATCTGAGGCTTGAATTCCTTTTCAATTGTTCCAGTGGGGACAGTGGGGGCGAGAAATTCTCCCTTGTTTATATCAATCAGCCTGCTTTTTAAAAAAAAAAAAACAACAAAAAACAGTGGTTCTGCTGTGAGCCGCAAGTGGAGGTGCCATTGCTATTGTCCTGGCCTGGCAGCCTGGGCACAGACCCCTCCCACCAGGTGCTGCCCTGAAGGATGTCCAGATCTCTGATACCAGTACTACCTTTCAGTGGCCACCAGCCTCTTGCTTGGTCAAGACCCCCACCAAAGGCCCCCTTGCATCTAAAACACTCCTGTCTTTCCAGACATCTTTGATAACCTTTGGCATCTTTCCCGCATGTCACTTTGGCTGTCTTGGTGCCATTAGGTCTCGATAACCAAGACCCATTGTCAAAAATCACAAACCACAAAACACAGAAAACATTTAGCTCACGGAATGCAAAGCTGCAAGGGTCCTCAGAATGAAAGACACTTTATAGAGCACAGGAGGGGCAGGGCTGGGATTGAACCCAGCACGAATCCAGCCCCACCGTCCCAGGAAGGCAGGTGGCACAAGGGGAAGGGGCTGATCCAGGTTCAAATCTGAGCTGCTCCTGTTTCCCTGTGGAGTCCTGGCAGCTCTCTGGACTTGTCCCCTCATCTGTTCATACAGCAGGCCTGGAGCACAGTCAACTGGAGAGTTGACCGGGATGCCGCCTCTGCAGCCCCCGGGGCAAGGCAGGTACTCACAAAATGCTTGTACCTGCCTCCCCTGCCAACCTCTTGTCATTACCCACGATTGCCTCAGGTGACTCCTGCCAGCGCTCCTCCTCAGCACCCCCAGCCCGTGCCCCGTCTCCCCCAGCACCCCTGCGGGTCCTACCTGAGACCACACTGGAAGAGACTGGGAGCCTGGCCGTGCCCTTTTATACCTGTCCAACAGGTCTGAGCCGGCAAAACCTTAAAAAAGAAAACCCCCCAGGGCTCCAGTGGCTCAGCTGGCCTCACCTTCCAGGGTCTGACTGGACACTCCTGGGTCCCTCAGGGGGGATCACTGGATGCCCTAAATGTAGGACATTCGCCTTCCTCTCGTGGCCCTCGTGGGGAAACTGATGACCTCAGCCCCAGGGTACAGGCTGCAGCAGAAATAGAATAGCTGTGTAATGAGATTTCCTCTTAAAGCTACCATTGGACCCATGGTGGGTGCCGGCTCTCAGGGAGGGACGCCCAGTTTCCTCACCCACAGCCTCTGACATGCATGAGCACAGTGACCAACTGGTTGATGGCTTTGTTCCTTCCATGCCCTCAGGCAGGAAGGCCCATGTTAGCCTGGACCTCACTCTTCTGGTCATGGCCATGGGCCCTCTCCAACCCCATGGCCAGCAGGAGCCATGTGGTGTCACAGTGCAGTGCCAGCCTCCAGCTCTGAAGCCCTGACTCTAGCTCCTCTGTGGCTTCCTGTGCATCATGTGGCAAGTCCCTGCCCTCTCTGGGCTTGCCTTTTCCATCTGTAAAGTGGTTGGCTGGGCTGATTCTCTGTAGAAGTCCTTTGTACTGTTTAAGTTCAGAGATGGCCTCTGGGTCTCCAGGGAGAAACCGCCTGGGGGACATTCTTCCTGGCATCTTTCTTCATCCCTATCTCCACCCCCCAAGTCTCCAATTCACTTTTTTAATGGAGATGAAATTTACATAACATAAAATTAATCACTTTAAGCAAACAACTCAGTGACATTTAGTATGTTCACAATGTTGCATAACCACCATCTCTATCTACTTTCAAAACATTTCATCAGCCCCAAAGGAAACATAGTATCCGGTAAGCAGTTTCTGCACCTAGCCTCTGGCCTATTCTAGGTATTTCATATGAATGGAATCTCACAATATGTAGGCTTTGAGTCTGGCTTCTTTTCCTTAGCATAATGTTTTCAAAGTTCATCCATGTTGTAGCAGGTGTCAGGACTTCATTCCTTTTTATGGCTGAATAGTATTCTGTTGTATGGATATACCACTATTCCCTTATCCATTTATTAATTGATGGACATTTTGGTTGTTTTGTGAATAGTGCTGCTATTAATTAATATACCTGTACATATATTTTTTGAGCACCTGTTTTCAGCTCTTTTGGATATTTCTCTAGAAGCAGAATTGCTGGGTCATGTGTTAATTTTATGTTTAGCTTTTGGGGGAACCACTACACTGTGGCCTGAATTATTTTATATTTCTTCCAGCAATTCACAAGGGTTCTCATTTCTCCACATTCTTACCAGTACATATTGTTTTCTAGTTCTTTGGTTATAGCCATGATAGAGGGCATGAAGTTGCATCTCATTGTGGTTTGATTTGCATTTCTCTAATGACTGATGATGTTGAGCATCTTTCTGTGTGCTGTTTGGTCATTTTATCTTCTTTGGAGAAGTGGTTATTCAAATTTTTCGCCTACCTTTGAAATCAGGTTGTTTGTCTTTTTATTGTTGAGTTGTAAGTCTTTTTTTTTTTTTTAAGAGACAGAGTCTCACTGTGTTGCCCGGGTAGAGTGCAGTGGCATCATCATAGCTCACTGCAGCCTCCAACTCCTGGCTCAAGCAGTCCTCCTGCTCCAGCCTTTCAAGTAGCTGGGACTACAGGCATGTGCCACCATGCCCAGCCTCATTTTCTTTTCTTTCTTTCTTTCTTTCTTTTTTTTTTTTTTTTTTT